GACAGTTGTACTAGCAAAGTACGAAAAACGCGAGGAAAATCACTATATCTTGGAAAATGCTAATTCAATTATGTTCATTTTTTAAGGAAAAGAAAGAAGAGACTGTGTATGTATAGCTCCTGTTGTCAATAAGTTGTAAAACATGATGCCCTGGACACCTGCTCAAATGACAGTTGTACCAGGAAAATATGAAAACGCAGTCAGAGGTGACTGCCACAGCAATAAAACCAAATAACCTTCTAACCATAGTGTTTTGGCACTCCAGATTTGACACAAATTATCCTCATTCAATGTGAGGTAGATTTGTGGAGGTTCATCAAAATCATTTGAGGGACTTTACAGTCATGGTCAAAATGCCTTCTCTAGTCTCCCCGAACCAGGGCGTTTGCCTGTGATTTGAAAGCATTTCGACTATGACTATAAAGTCCCTGAAGTGATCTTGAGTTCACTCTACAGATTTACCATACAGTAAATGAAGATGATCTGTGCCAAATTTGAAGAGCCAAAACACTATGGTAAGGAAGTTATTTAGTTTTTTGCGGTTGCAGTCACCCCTGACTGCGTTTTTCGTATTTTCCCAGTACAACTGTCTTTTGAGCAGGTGCCCAAGGCATCATGTTTTACAACTAACCATTTACAGGAGCTATACATACAGTACAGTCTCTTCTTTATTTCCTGAAAATATGAACATAATCGAACCAGTATTTTTCAAGACATAGCGATTTCTTTGGGTTGCGTTTTTTTAACACCCTGTAAGTGTAATCATTTATAACTTTTTATAACTTCAAAGACTAGTGTTCATTTTTTAATTGTTTTTCTTCGGACCTAATTGGACAAACAACTACCTTCCTAATATACTCCTCAAAAAAGTTAAGGACCAGTGGTTTTCTTCATAGGTTTACATGTTAACCGCCATATTTGTTAGAGAGAGACCGAGATGGGAGATATCCCCCTCTCTTTTACACCAAACTTGTTCTCACTACGTTTTCGAAAGTTGCCTGAAAGGCCTCCTCATACATTATTAAGGAAAACATATCTACACATTTTGCGCATTTAACCATTTTATAACATATTGTGGATCTAATCTTAATTTGTCAATGTGAATTCGCACCTTCATTTGCATGGAAGACATTGATAAAATCATTTTTTGATGATTTTTGTTAGAAAGCTGATGTTTGGCTAAGCTTCGAAATTCCAAATTGAACAGTCTACTAAGAATACCATGTTGTAATTATTGTTTTCTTTATAATATGTCGAGCTAGGACTGCTCAAACAAATTCGCTTTTTGAAGCTACAAGTATTTTATTTCAATAGATGATAAACTTCTCAATATAAGAAATTACCCTCATAAGACATTGTTGCAGGGTGTGTTGCAATGAATGTGGCACCCCGCATTCCCGGGCCCGCATTATGTATTCTCGAAGAAAGCCATCATGATAAGTCATGACATCTCATTTCTTCTCAGCCCTGTGTTTCAGGTGAAACAGAAAGATGCCATGAGTATCAGAATGGAAGAAGGCATATATTTGCATTGATGGTGTATAGATAGTTATTTTATATAGTGTTTCTAGTTGTACACGGAAACCTATTCTAACCAGGAAGGATTTTGCAACTTTTTTCAAGATCCTAAAGTTGCAATTCTCGTTATTGTGTTTCCGATTGTAAAGACGCAACTGTGAAAGTGCGTCGCTGGTACAAAGGCGTAGTTCTACATACATTTAAGATACACTTTTTTAAACCTGTACGTGAACGTGTAGAATTATGGACCTGGTGGTTTTTTTCTCCCTTTTGTACTGTTAATATTTGGCCGGTTGAGTATATAAAGGTATTTATCCCATACTTGGACGTGTTATAGGTACATAAAGCCGGTTTGTAAAAACTTATATTTTCATCAGCGGGCAGATATAGCTTTACGTCCCGCTCAGAGCGGGCAGATATAGTATATCTGCCCGCTACGTCATAATCGCCGCTCGCATATTTGTTCATAATTTGTAACGTTCGCGTAATGACTTTTAAAGACAATGGAGAAAACATAGACAATCGGGATCTGTTTGATGGTTTAAAAAAAGGGAAGGAGTATCCACTTAATCAATCAAAAATTCGAGAAAATAAATCTGGGAATATTTGAGAGAACAGGAAAATCCGCCGACGGCCAAGAAAACAAAACTGGACATGAATATTCTAAAATATTTCCACGATTGAACAATGTGAACCAGATGACCAAGATTGGTATGGGATAAACATATTATCCTATAGTCGGTTCGGGATATTGGGATTATCCCTTGGCCAATATAATATATTTTCCCTCGGGACCTGCGGCCCTCGGGCAAATATATTATATTGGCCTCGGGATAATCCCAATATCCTGAACCTCATATAGGATAATCTCTATATATGTCCCAGCTTTTAGTAAGTGGGGGTCAAATGTGGGCCATCCACACATACACTTTTTATCATGCTTAAGTAATTTTGCATTGTAATTACAAGGGTGTTATAAACGAGACACCAGGATGATAATGTAGGGGTACAATATATTTTGAGAAAATTAGGGCCCAAATCTTGAGAAAGAGTCGGAGGCATGCGAGGCGAATCCTGGAAACTCGGGATCGGGAAAGCGGAGTTCACTGTTTGGTTCCGTTGACACCTGTGCGAAACTATATTCATAATTTATCCGACAGTCGCTTTGATAATGTTTCTTTATCTCGTCTGCGACTCGATAAAGAAGAATTATTAAAACTCATCAAGAATGGACGATCTTGCACAGGTACTCATATAAGAACCTCTATATCTTTTGAACACCAATATATAACGGACACACTATGTTAAAAATAAAATGTTATATCTAATGTGCCAATTTAATGATTTAGCATATCGAAAATATTTTCAACCTAAGTGACTGACCACATCGTGACATCACTTAGGTGGCAACATTTTTCAATGTCAATCTTTTCTAAATATGCTAAACTTAAAAAATAAACCAATTTTGACTGTATAACCAGGTTAAAAGGATGAATATGTTTTTAATATTAGTTTACCATTGGTTTCTATGAGAATTAAAATTTTGAAATGCATCTTTCCCTGAACCACTTTCATGCATGGATGAGTTCATTGCTCGCTCATCTATCAACCAATTTTCTTGATTTTGTCGGCAAAAAAACAAGTGAGGATGATTGCTATGCATCGGTGTGAATTATCGCTTTAAAGGATAAGTGTGACCTCTTAAAGTTAGTTTTGAATAAATTCACGATATTTTAAAAAAAAGTCCTTCAAAAACATTTTTGAAATTAATAAAATGTTTCACATTTCACGCTTTGATAACATTGGATAAGACAAAAATATAAGCCAGTGTGGTTTAAACTTTATATGGGGCCTTTAACTGATTAATACAATTTTACACCCATTGGAAGGACTGTACTTACCCTTTGCATTCGTTTGACTTCACTTCTTAAAAGAGAGCTTCTTCGTAAAGGCTCTTAGTAAAACGTTATCAAGCAAACATCTCGAAACGATTTACAATGCTTACTTCATTAAGCTCCAAGCTCTCGAAAGTCTGCACTATAGAGCAGCCTGCCTAGTTTCCGGTGCTATTCATGGGTCTAATACTGATAAGGTGCTTTCTTCTCTAAACTGGAACAAGCTGGCATCGAGAAGAGATGAGCACTTAAAAATTTTTATTTTTAAAGCGCGCTTTAATGCTTTACCTCCCTTCATCTGTGATGTTGTGAGAACTTATGAAACTGTTCACACCAGAAGGCTGAGAGATAAGCCAGATTATCAGATTCCATTACATACTAGTGTCTCAACTAATAAATCTACAATTTTTAGTGCCATCTCAGCTTGGAATTGGCTTCCACCAACTATCCGAGTTGGGCAGCCAATTTCAAGATTCAAAAGATCAGTCAGGGAGCATAGGAGCCATGCATCCTTACCCACATCCAAAATGGAGTACACTATGCCAAGACAAACAGAAATTACTTTCAACAGACTTAGAGCTGGACTCTTGCTTAATAGCCATTTACATGCCCACAATTTTACTACAATTAATGATCCCAATTGTCCATGTGGTGCAGCTCAACAAACTACTTCTCATTTTCTAATCAAATGTCCACTGCTCATAAATGAAAGGGAATTGCTTCCTGCAGGACTCGACGAACTGGAGTGTCTGCCCGATTTCAGAAATTTAACAATCTCTAAGAAATCAGACACACTTTTGTATGGGGATACCAACCTTAGTGATGTGATGAATGGCAAAATTATTGAAATCGTGGCTCACTATATCTCAACAGCAATCTCAGTATTAAATAGTCAGTGAAACATTTTAAAATCCTTTGGGAACCTTATGGGCGGGATGGGGAGCAAGCATACAGACAGACTGAACATACTACGTGGTTTTTGTATTGTGTAAATTTCTGTGTTATATTTTTAATATTTACTATGCCGCTAATGTTATTAAGTTAACAAAGGCATACTTTTGTAATTATATTAATAGCTAGGAATTATAAATAAATTGACATTGAAAAAAAGAAGCTTCTTCGTCTTCAGTAGTTTAACTAGACTCTGCACGCAGGGTAGACTGTACTGTGACTGGTTGGACAGAGTTGTATCAATCATACATGTAACTGCATGTCCAGTGGAAAATAACCAACTCTGATCATACAAATGGTTCGAATTTGAATTATCATGCACATGATAGTGATAGTGATCTAAAATGCATAGCCCAAACGGGTACAAAATTGGACGGTGTTTACTACTATAATGAGATCAAGTGATCCTTACGATTATAGTGAGTTCCATTGCAGTTCGAAACTGAGGTACAAATGATAGACAAGGAAGTGCAAAACAAGATCGCTGAATAAAATAAATGATAGTCTATATAAGACTTTTATTTTCCCCCAAAACTTAGACAATATTTGACTTCTAACAAACGGCGAATTATCGAAAACAAACGGCGATTTCAGACACTCGCCCCCTGCTATTAAAAGCCCAGCTATAAGGAAAGTTCTCTACAAGGAACAGTTTTCGAAAGAGCCAAGTCTTAACTGTTAATGATCCATTCTTCAGTAAGGAAAACTTGTTTGCATCATTGGTCACAGGCATTGGCCGCATAAACTGTTCGATGGACAGATTTTACTGTATATTTACAAACATTCTTTTGAATAATATTACATTTTGAATCACTTATAAAATTTCAATTTTGAATCATTCATTTTATAAATACTCAATTCTTCAGTGTATTTTTTACCATGATATAACGGCCATTAAGTTATCATTCATTCATGATGAAATTGATATAAATACATCTTTTAAAAAGTATGACTGTTTGAACATAATGCATAGATCATACATTGTATTTAGATAGATTATTAGCTATTAAAAGATTTGGTTTTATGTACAATATATACAATCTGTCTTTACAATATGTACAAATAATTCAGGAAGGCATAATACTCAAAAGTATAATGAATAATGATTTTCTAAATGCAAATTCACAATGGAATTATAGGATCACAATTATTCCCCATACTTTCAAGCAAAAGTCCCCTGAATAAGCCTCCATTGGCCTCCCTCTCCCAGCCTACCCCCCCCCCCCTCCTGCTTAGCATCACGCTATGTTGCCTTAGCACCAACTCTGAATATATTCCCATCTCTTAGTCTTTGTTTCACAACATTAACATTAACAGGTGCAGGTGTCTCCTGGGATAGTTTCTCTTTCTCTATCTCAAAGACCCATGATATATAATTGTCCAATGAGGTTGCATCAATTGTTGGGTCAACAGTACTAATAGCTTTCCTCAATTCTTCAACACTGAGCTCGCTGAAAAATACAACAATAGGATTCTATTATTTAAATATATTTCATTTTAATAATGTTACCCATTAACAAGTGTAAAATGCACCACTATGAATGGAACACCTCCTAAATTGAACACTAATTTGATGTTCCTTTACACGTGTTCTATCTACACAGGTTCTACTGAAGATATTAACTTAACATTCTCCCTCTACTCTCATGGTACACTTACGTTGCTTCTCCAAAGTGTTCTTTGATCTCCTCCACATATTCAAGTTTTGCATCTTTTCCTTGTTTCTTAACTTCAGTCAGGAACTCCCCCATATTACCCTCGTCATCCTGAAAGAATAGAATTCCCATTTTACACACAATTCTCTTTTCTATACGATAATATGCATAAATGACTTATGCATGATGATTATTTGTATACATATAGTTTTCAACAAACATAATTAATTGTTGTTAAAAAATAAATGAGAACTGAATACTTGTTCTTTGTAGATTTTTTTCAAAAAGAATCTTAGTTTTAGAAAACTTTATATGCTCAGACATACCTCCATGAACATATTCCTATATTCCAGAACCTCTTCATCTTTGGCTTCAAGCTCAATTTCTGCTTGTTCAATTAATTTATTGATTTTCTCCTCGTCTTTTTCAGGATAATATTGCTGGAGGGCTATTTTAAAGTCTTCCTTGGTGAGTGTCCCTGTGTTTCCCTTGTCAGCATCTGCCTGAGTAAGGTGCTTTAAGAGCTTTGCCATGTTGCGGAGATCTCTATGGAAAATAGCCTCATCTCCCTGGAGATTTAAAACAAATAAATGTACAGTGAAACATGTAACGTGGAATACCTTTAGAAGTGGAACACCTCAGTTAGTGGAACACTTTCAGAGTCCCAAGACTGACTGACTTATAAGTATTGTTATATGAGCCTCTATAAGTGGAACACACTCTCTCAAGTGGAACACTTTTAGAGATACTTTTTGAAAAGTGTTCAACTTTGAGGGTTTTTGTTTTAATTCTTGTACAAGTATTATTTTTCAATGCTCATCAAGGACATTATGTATTGATTTTAAGGATAACATTTTTCTTTTATTAAGAGGCAAGTAGATTGATATCTATGAAACACTTTTAAAAAAGATTATAATGTAAGATAAAATGCGATCAAAACCCTAAATACAGAGACCATGATTTACTATATTTACCTTGCCAACAAGGACTTTATAGAAGAGACCAATGTTTGGATCAGCTTCTGCAAACCTCTCACAGGAGTCCAGCAGGTTATAACCCCACTCAATAATCATCTGCTCCAGTGCGAATCGCCTCTGTAGGTAGATATACATAAAGTCGTCCATCTTTTCCCGTTTTCCATCAGTTTTCTACAAGTAAAGTTCATTCATGAGAGCATTATTCCAAAAAAACAAGATCATTGGAGTGAATATTTTCTTCAATTGATTACTTCTTTGTTGACGTTTTAGGAGTGAATACAAAATTGAAACTACACTGAATTCAAAGGCGCATATTTATATCTGTCCCCAAGGAAGCGATGTTCTTTGGCATTTAAGATATTAAGATTATTTCACACTAATAAAATTTGGGAAATTAAAATTACCTCAGCATCATTATCTCAATAGAAAGTTTTACTCCAGCAGGCAAAGCTTTTCGGTATTTATTTAGAGAATTTGATTGTAAAATTACCTCTGCATCATGGGAAGCTTTCTCTCTCCATATGTCTCTGATAAGCAGGGCTGTGTCTCTCTTCCCCAGTCTTCTGTTTCGTACTTGACCTTCAAACCTCAGGTACTTTGGCACATTCTCATCCACACCCTGAAATCATATCATCTTCACTTATTTGAATGTGTTAAGCATATAAAATATGTTAACCAAAAGGGTTTAGTGGACAGGTTAATTACAGTGAATTTAAGAATACCAATTTCTCATACCTGACCATCAAAATATTCAGCCCCACTTGCACTGTCTCCAGCTCCCTGGACTTCTTCTATGAGGAGGTCAACCAGCTCATTGCTTGTTTTGCCCTCTGATATCTCCTGCCACCTTGCTAGGCCGCCTGTTACATGATCACCTGCTTTCTCCCACTCTGGCCTGCAATAAACAGTAAAGTAAATTGTCTTATCTCCATTTTTAATATGCTCAAAAACTATTTTAGAAAACCTTAAAATTCATGAATGTTTTAGTGTATTTACACATATCTATGACAAAAACAATGTAATAATTTCACACATGACAGATAGGCTCTATTGAAGTAATAGATGTCTAAACTTTCAAAAATTGATTTCTCAGTTTCACAAAAATATGAGTTGGGACATTATTATTCTCATATGCTATTGGTGATAAGGAAATAAACCCCAACATCCCAAAAATGTTAAAACAAAATCAAATGGTCGTTTAAGACACCGACATTTGTTACAGATGCCAACCCCAATGCTGTCCACTTCTGGTGGTGACAAAAAAACGCTCGAGATCATTGAATTTTGAAACTGTAAAAATACCTTGGTGTTGCTGTTCTCCTAAGAGTCTCACACTCTATATAAAACTGATCCCTCTGTTCCACTACTTGTTTGTGAACGTCTAATAATGCACTGAAATATAAATTGTAAACTTTTAATACACTTAAACCAATTTTAAATTAGTAACATTAACATGAGAAAGAATATCACAAACTGTTCAAATCATATGGACGATATATAAGTCGCTATAAAAGTCAGCTGTTTTGTTCATAAGCCATATTAGATGTAGCATCAGATCAATCAATCGGATTGCTGGAATTTTCTCTTTGATTGAGTACTATTCAGTATTAATAAATGAAAAGGAATCATAAAAATGAAAGCATTATCACATTTAAACCAACCAAATCGATGATTAACTTACTCATGTTCAGCCTTTAGTTTATCAAAGTCACCGAGGGAAGTGGAATATTTTTCATTGAGATTCTTGGTCTGGTTTTCCAGGGCTTCGTAATCACGACGTGGAATGACATCGCCATAGTTGGCTGTCATTTCATTTAGACGTGCTGTAGCCTCTTTTTCATCTTCACGAGCTTGTCTGTAAATTAAAAACAAATCACACATTTTATTTCTTTGACATAAGACCACGGCTGGCCACTTATTCCAAGGAATGAGCATTTATTTCAGAATAATTAATTGGTACAATTGACTCAATCTATAATAGGTATTATTAATTAATTGCAATTGACATTTGATACAAACTTCTTGGTTGAGGTACAGTATATTACACAGTACAATTTTTCCATGACTGTTAACATTTCCTGGATCCGCCACTGCTTTTATAACAATGGAAGAAGAAACAAGACCAGAAAAAGAGCTTGCATTTGGAGATGCTCAAATTGGAGAGATGTTCAGATTTTCAGGTAAAAGTGTTCATAACAGTTTATGCCATGAAAATTCGTTCAAACTTACTTAAGTGCTATTTTCAACATGACAGGATCATCTTCATCTTTTTCTTCACTCTGTTGTTGTTTTCCCATAAGGAAGTCTTCCTGTTGGTACCTCAGGTCATTAATATCACTCACCAATAGTTTTCTGGCATCACACTCATCCCTATAATTGAAAAAACAGATTGTTAACCCCATCAAAAGTGGACAGATTAAATAGAACATGTGCACTGTGAACATTAATTGATTAAGTTGAATTGAGAAGTATCATGAGATAGACAGATTAAATTTCTTACCTGAACTGGACATTATGATAACTAATTCATCTTTTTAAGTCGTTGATCTCAAGACTAACTGATCATGTCAATGTTAAGGTGGTTCTGTAGCTTCATAAAAAATGAAGTGATTGTTAAGTATTCCCTTACAGAGATTCATTTAACATTAAGTAAGTAGGCCATTGGACTTTGAAAAAGTCCTACTTAATTACTGTACAGAATTTCATCTAAACATTAGTTAGTAGGTCATGAGCCTTTGAAATAATTCCATTTCTGGATATTTTCAATTTACAAAGGTGTTCCTCTTGACAGTTTTTCTATACCTGTATTTGAGATATTCAGCTGCTAATTCCTCTTGGAGTCTCTCAACTTGAGTTTGTAAACTAACTTCTTGGTTTTTCATCTCCTCGATTCGGGCTAGAAATAAGTTTATAAAGGTCAGTTATCTTGTAAATACTCCAATGAAAATCAGGACATTTTGTTGTCTGCCTATAAAAAGCTAGAATTCATTTCATAGACCTATATGTACAGGGTGTCCAATAAATAAGGTAAAAGATATTGTAACTTTCTTAATATTGCACCAACCTTGATGAAATTTTCAGAGTTTGTAGCCCAAACCTTTTTATCTTTATTCTGTGAATTTGAAGCGTCTTCTATTTGATTGGCCAGAGTTGTAGTTGCTATAGCAACCGAAACAACAAAAAGGCGGGGCAAGTTTGTTTACGTCACAACTTTCCAAAACATATTTATTCTTTCTGATAGCTTTATTCATTCTCCCAGGTCTATTGCTATCACAAATACAATATAAAAGCAGTCCTAAAGTCCCATTGTTATAAAAATAAGCTATTCAACATAATGTCCATCTCTAGCTATACACTTCTTATGCCTAGTATTCACCCACTCTCTAAACACACTTTCAAACCCATTCTTGCCCATTTCCTGAAGTCTTGCTAGGACATGTGATCTGAGTTCACACACAGCTATGCTCACTAGTGAAACTATTAGGGCACTGGGGTATCCCTACTTGCTCACCCTCCATATTCCCCAGCCCTTGCACCCAATGACTTTTACTTATATGCAGACCTCAAGTGTGACTTGAGAGGAAATAAATTTGGAAGCACTGATGAACTCAGATCACATGTCTTAGCAAGACTTCAGGAAATGGGCAAGAATGGGTTTGAAAGTGTGTTTAGAGGGTGGGTGAATAGGCATAAGAAGTGTATAGCTAGAGATGGACATTATGTTGAATAGCTTATTTTCATAAAAATTGGACTTTAGGACTGTTTTGATATTGTATTTGTGGTAGTAATAGACCTGGGAGTATGAATAAAGCTATCGGAAAGAATAGATATGTCTTGGAAAGTTGTGACGTAAACAAACTTGCCCCGCCTTTTTGTTGTTTCGGTTGCTATAGCATACAACTCTGGCCAATCAAATAGAAGACGCTTCAAATTCACAGAATAAAGGTAAAAAGGTTTGGGCTACAAACACTGAAAATTTCATCAAGATTGGTGCAATATTAAGAAAGTTACAATATCTTTTACCTTATTTATTGGACACCCTGTATTTTAAAATAAGTGTATGAATTATTTTTTCATATGCATTGATGTGGCATCAAACATGTAAGTGCACCTTGTACCCCGCATGCAACAATAGGCAAGTATACTGCATAACAAATAAATTTTTAAAAATCCAAAGAGGTCATGGGATCAATTAAGATTATATGAACATAACAAATTATTGAAATGGAATATAAATCTGGAATATCTGTAATAGACTAGTGTGGCTAACTGATTTAGGGTAAAGTTGGTAAAAATGGTAAATAATGTACCAAATGTGTGTTACTGAATAATATGGGTATTTTTTTCAGTTCATTTTTTACTCCTACACATTCACTTGATAATATTTGCATGGATCATGTCTGCTGAAAATATGATAAAAAGCAAAATCATAATATTTACTCACTATAAAGTCTCTGGTTTTCCTTTTTCAAGTCTGTCATTTCTTGTTTTTCTTCTTCGCGTATTTGTACAATCTTTTGATCACACTGTTCGGAGACAGTCACCAACATTTGCTACAAAATATACATGTATTGTTTAACTTGTATTTAGCACACTTGAATTCAGTACACATGTAATAAGATATATAAGGGGGAGGGGTTGGTTGGGTCCTTTGGCAAAAAGTTCTTTCAAAAGCATGCAATTTTTCCAATTCTGAGCACTTTTCAAGTGATTTTGGGCCAAAGTTGACAAATGGGAACCCCTCTTAAATTTCTTTGGCAAAAGATGGTTATTGGCCTCCATTAAAATTAAAATTGACAGATGTTTGTTATTCCAATTGTTAAATTGTACTGTATATTTTGAATGTTGCCCTCGTCCATTTCTGTTCTAAATATTAATACCAAGAAACATTCCTGGAAATTAAAAATTAAACTGTTGAATGGTTTGTCTGAAAATCAACGGACAAGAAAAGTATGCCTGCTAGGCAGATGACAAGGGTCATAACAGGGTTAGATTGTTGAATCTCACCTTTAGAGGTTCCAATTGGCGAATCTGTTCACTCTGGTATGCAATCATCATTTCATACTCATTCTTTATTGCTGATAATATTGGTTTGTAGGTCTTGAAGTCCTCAACAAGGTATTCAAACACTTCTCTATGGGCCTAGAACCAGGATTGAAATATACTCATTACCTATATTAACTTGATTTTTACCTTGCCTGTCACACATTAGGGGTGACATTTCAATTCAATTTCAAAAAATTCCCTGGGTTCATATATTTCAGGGCAAAAGTTTTTTGTTTGTGACATTGCAATGACATTTTTTGTTATTCCCAATATTACCATTTCTAATTACCTGTAGCCTAAGCTCATTTGGTTCAACTGCTGTTACACCTAAAGATCTCAGCTCTTTTTTCAAAAATGACTCCAACATTTCTAGAAATTTAGGTTTAGGAATAAGTTGTGGTTTGCCTTGGGCTTCCTCATCGACAATCACAAGCTCTTTGGATCTGGATAATCCGACAGATGTTTGTGAGACTGCCTGTCCCGAAGCGTGTGCAGGCCATGTGTCTAGGGTACCAGCATTTGTGTCTATAAAGGGCTGTAAAAACATATGGATATTTAATCGAATACATGTTAATTCAAGGTATAGTTACTACATGTATTAGGGGCTTGAATGAAAATATATATACACAGGGATTTCATTAGCAGCAGGCAACAGGCGATTTTCACCGTTTTTTTTCACAAAATTGCCTGTTGTTGTCAGGGATTTTTCAATTTTTCCATGTTAAAATGATTTCCATTAATTTTCCCTGTTGTTTTCATTTAATTAGCCTGTTGTGAGAAATTCTAGTGAAACCCCTGTATGCATATATAAATTTTGGAGGTCTAAATCTTCTGAGAAAATATGTAAACTTACATGTATCATTTCAAATTATCAACAGTTCAGGAAGAGAGAAGTTAAATTACTTAGGGGGAGAGAGTTAATGATGATTTTTTGAGCGAAGAGTGTTGATTTTTTAAATATTAAATTGAAAGAAAATTAGCTTCATTCTTCCACAACCATTGAAAATTTAATACTTTTCTAGATGTTTATTAGTTATTTGTTATTGCAATAAAATGGTCATTACCTTTAGCACTTTTGGGGGAGGTAAGTTGTAATGTGCATTTACAGATCCTATCTTGTACTTGGGTCCAGTAAGACCTTCATATCTGTCAGTGATCCTAGGTGTGATTTCTTTTTTCATATTTGTTGGGCTGGAAGTAAATAATCAGAGCTAGTCAAAGCTAGTCAATGAGCTTCATTAAAGATGCATTATACCATAGGTTTTTCACCCAGACAATGAATGATGTCCCTTTGTTATTGCTTATATAATATCTCACATACCATGGATATATCTTGAGAATAACTTATGGGTATATTATTGCCGAAATATTGAAATAATCAACAAACAACCAACCTTCAGAATTAAACACAAACGATTCCTCGATTGGTATAATGTTGACATCATTTTGTTTCAATTTGGGGTAACTTTGATGATGGGGTAACTTTGATTCCTTGTTGTTTATTTGCTTTAATTTCCTTTTAGGGAGAAGCCTCGTGTTTGTTCTTCAAAAAAAGTTTTTGTTCTTCCATGGACCAAGATCTCGCAAGATTTTCATTTTTTCTAAAATTGAACATGGTGGAAAACAGAAATTTTAATTCCTAACAAGTACATGGAAGTGACCAATTTCTCATGTCAAAATTACCCCACATGTTGACATTATCAATGATTTTGATAGCTCGCATTTTTGCTTCTTTGGCGCAATTTTCACACAGAAAGAAGGCAGATTCCTTAGATCAGTGCCTCCCATCTGTTAACTCATGATGCACTCTATGATTTCAGTCAATACTCACTTGAAATCTTTCAACATTGAACCATAACAACCACTCCTAACTATAGTTTTTTTTCATTTCATTTGCCAATGATTTCTTCACCTTTCAGGCCTCTAATTTGAAGAGCGATTGCCCGACCCCTCTGGGAGTCAATTAAAAGTGCAATCTGATACATTTGTGTATTGAGCCTAGTTGACTCAAACCTGAATTTTGGCTGAATAATCACTAGGGAAAAGGGGTGTAAAGTCGACAAATGGGGTATTCAAAACGTACTTGTTAGAAATTAGAATTTCAGTTTTACGATCTCGATCAATACAAGAAAAAAAACATGACTTCCCCTAAGATCGGCAATTAGGCTAGAGCAAAGAAACAATATGGTGTCGAAGTTACCCCATATGGCAAAGGTACACATTGAAACAAAATGGCATTGACGTTATGCCCCTTTGCCCTAGACTAGTTATCTTATTTTGAATTTTCAACTGAAGAATAGAACCTACCACAGACACGGGAACAAGAGTTCATCCCCCTCCCACTCACTGAGTGATACAGTGACTGTGGGGGGGGGGTAAATCTTCCTGGGCCTGCGCTGAGACTAACAGGTCTGTGGACAGTTGTATCTCTAGCCTATCCATCAAAAAGATCTAAATAAAAATCCGAAAAACCTCTAATGCTACGCTTACCTATCTATCGGCGGTAATCGCCGCACAATCATCTTCTCTGAAGACATGTCAATACAAATTAGTTATCTCCGATGTTTTATTTTCAATGATAATGGTATAAACATAGTTTAAATCATAAAAACATAATCAGATTTATTTTTCGGAAAATAAAAATGGCGTCAAGTTGCTATGGTGATATCTACCTAGAATGAGTACGCGTTGCTGTAATTTTATATCGACATTTACTGAAATTGTATGATAATTGATGCTGAATTGATGTTTTTGATCTTTTTTTTATTTTGCAATGAGTATAGATAATTATCTCAGTTTATTTATACAAATACTTGAATTTACGACTTAAACATACACATATTCTCATGACGTCATCGATGTTTGCGCGGGAATTTCTGCATGTTCTGACAAGTTGAGCTAGAAAATAATTTATTACTTGGCATTTATTTTAGATCTTCAGATAGTTTGTCGCAAGTGTAGTTGGAAAAAAAGTGTTTTCTTCAGAGTTAGCGAAATATACAAAGATATGCCTCGGCGAAAGCTAGAAAAAGGTAAAAAAGTTATAAAATACAGCATTTTTGACCCGGAAGTAGCTTTTTAGTTTTGCTTTGCACTGCAAATTGCAGTTTGGATTTATGTTTACAAATATTTTGTATTTAGCCTTGACTTACTTCCTGCGAAAGCTATTTGGATTTTGATATAATAGCTTTCCCACGGAGCATTTGGACAGCTCAATGATCGTGACCTTTGAAACCGAATTAAGTCGATCCGCGGCTTACTTTTGGTCTCTAACTGTGTCTTACATCAGTATCATCAATCCGTGTAAGTATTGGAGCGCTGGAGTACTTCTTTTTCGATCAAGACTTGTAATTATTAGTCGAGTGAATCGTTTTACTGCCAAATTCCAATATGGCGGTTTCTGCTCGGACATTTTCGTAAATCTCCGGAGGTTGTCCGAACCTAACTAATTCTCAAAATTCATTTCGTTCGTTGCGTATCTTGCACCTAGCAAACCGCCATATTGGAAATAAGTCTGTAAAACTTTAACTCGATGAACAATTTACAAGTCTTGATCGAAAAAGAAGTACTCCAGCGCTCCAATACTTACACGGATTGATGATACTGATGTAAGACACAGTTAGAGATCAAAAGTAAGCCGCGGATCGACTTAATTCAATTTCAAAGGTCACTATTGATCAGCTGTTCACTTCTCCGTTTGAGAGCCATAAGTTTCAAAATCTAACATGGCTCTCGAAGTGAGTAAGCCTTGACCAAGTCGGTATATTTTTACTTATCTGATCTTGAATTATTACCGCCTTGTACAATCCAATACATCTCCGCCAGGACATTCTTTTCGACTGTGCGCAGATACAGTTGGGGACAAAAATAAATGACAGGTCGATTTTTGATCACCATTTCCTAATTATGGTCATCTGAAAGCCCATAATTTCCAATATTGTCTAGATACATATCCCTTAAAATTTGTATATTTCACATTTTGTATAATCTCATCCACTGATGTATGGCCTCTTGAAAATTCTCTTATTTTTAACATGGGAAATTCTCACTTCAGCAAATCCACCTGTCATTTATTTATGTCCCGAACTGTATTTAGCCTTTCCCACAGGCACCAGTATCGCCACCTTTTTGCAGTCAGATTAGAACGATCTAAGCCCTTTAAAATACCTTTAAAGTCGGATTAGAACGATCTAAGCCCTTTAAAATACCTTTGAAGGCTTAGATCGTTCTAATCCGACTGCTAAAAGGTGGCGATACTGGTGCCTGTGGCCTTTCCCAATGGCCATGATATCATGCCATCTTGAAGTCAACTGATATTATGCTAAGTTATTTAGGGGTTTCGAGATTTCCATAGTACCTACGCTGTCAGGGGTACCGTGTAACCTTATTGATTGACAAGATCGTATGGACATGACGTGCGACTTCAGGGGGGTCAACCCAGTTGTCTGAAACCCAGTTGTCCGAAACCCAATTCTCCGAAACCCAGTTGTCTGAAACCCAGTTCTCTGAAAATTACAGCTCATATCATTATGAACGAGCACTCTTTCATTGGTAAAGGGTGTATTTGAGAGTAAGTTTCATCAACTGAACGATTCCTTTATGGGCTGGTATTTAATAAAACTGTCAAAAGATGAAAGTACAAGGGCATATACAGGTGATATAGATCTTCAAACAAACAAAGTTAAATTATGTTATTCTCATTGCATAGTGGCGTTTACATAACATACATGGGGTTGTACAATTTTTAAACCAGTTTTCTTTATGGACCATGGGCCTTTTTTGAGAGGGAACAACATTTTTCAAATGGTTGATGGGAGTTCATAAAAGGGAAAATAGCTTTCCCAAGCCAGTGGACATTTATTTAGTAAAGTTGACGTGTACATCAAACCAAAACTTATTCTTCACTTACATACTCTGTTCGAGAAATAGAGATTACATTCAAAAGGATGAAGTGATTAAATGGCAAAAAAGAAACTTCTTGCGAATGGGAGAACGTTCATTTTGTTACGAGGACAGCCTGTCTTCATTTCCAGTTGATCCCAAGTGATTAAGTTTAGAATGTTTTGTTCTTTTACGATTTGATAAGAGACAGAAACTAAGAAATTAAATGCGACGAAATATTTTGACAACGTAATATGTATACTGTTTTATTCTTAAAGTTCTATGCGTTAACTTATTTTATCTGTTTCAAAATGCTTCATTTTATTTTGCCTATATAAAAGAGATTGAAGAAGATAGATAAACTGTTCCGTAATATATATTGTGTTTTAATAACCTTTTTTAGAATCACAATGTAAAATAAATCTCCCGTTCCTGCCATTCTGGTAACGCCATGCAATGGATGCAATTCAAAGTGAGAGATCTATGAACATCAGAATGCGTCCATGCCATTAATTTGGCCAAATACATGGCATGGAACTGGCCTAAGCTTACCCCTTTCTCTGGTAAATTATGACTATATTTTTCGGAGTGATGGGTTTTGGACAACTGGGTTTCGGACAACTGGGGTGTACCCGACTTCAGGCTGATTGACCAATCAAAATCTGATCGAGTGTTTCTTTAGAGTTACAATATATTATGAAATTAAATGTACATTGAAATGTAAGCAGTCATTATATAAATTAAATCATGCGATTCAATAATTCAATGTTGATTTAAAACTGAATTAGCGATGAAAATGCACGAAGACCTAGTCCGGCCATGCAGTCGTCGATCTGATTTAGTGATTGAATCTCAGCCTAGATGTTCGATCATTTGAATTCAGCGTTCGTTTCAATGTTTCAACAAGTGTACTTGTTTTTGACCGTGCATAATAATAACTTTTCAGGGCTGTCATTGATTGGTCAAATTTTACCGACATAAACATTGGGTCGATAAAGCATGTGGCTTTCTCTTTGGTACAAGGAGGTCATAATAGAAATCAAGATAAGTAAAAGAGACCGACTTGTAGAATCAACATTGAATTCCAGAATCAACATTAAATACTGTACCTTATTGTTTGCTTGAACTGTATAATTTCATGAATAAAACTGGAAAAAAGAAGATTTTTTCAAGATGGCAGCTGAATTTCATTTTATTTATTTAGGTTGAAAACCCACCGTTGATTTATTATTGCTTGCACTGTATACTTTCTGTTTTTACACAAAATATATTCCCGCATATTATGGGCAGGGGCTGCTTTAAAATAATGAACCTAAGTGACATCTATCTCAAATTATATATTCTTACATGTATTAAGTTTATTGATTGCGTATATATTTCAATAATTTGAACCAATCATATTGCTAGATTAAATATGCTTGCGCAAAAAAATGAAACCAAAAAATGAAACCTCACACAGATTGCTCCTACTGGAGACTTGCGTACATTCTCAACCAAAGGCACAAGAACTGATTTGTAGAATTGACTGAAAAGAAAATCTTTTCCCCTTACAAGGGTATGCACTGAAAGGTGTAGTTTAAGTCAAAATATGCAGAATTTATTGGTGGCCCTGTAATACATGTATATACACTGTATATGTAAACATCATACATGCTATAATTGAATGTGTTTACCCACTGTTATTTCAGAAAATATTAAAACATTGAACATGAAAACCCCAATCTTTGACTATGATATGATTTGGGGACAAGTGTATGTACTTTTTTATTTCAGTTGAGTCACCTGATGATGTTGCCCCCTTGGAAAAGAAAGTGAAAACGGAAACAACTATAGATGGCACTGTGGTACAATGGGAATGGGAATCGGACACAAATGAGTGGACAAAGTATGGGCCTCTTCATTCAGAGCAGATCAATGATGCATATAATTCCAGTAAAGCTAAAATAGACATTGATGTCGGACCAGTGAAAATGACTATAAATTTCCAGAAATTTGTTCAGAAGAATAAAAAGACAGGATGGGAGAGAAGGATCAGATGTTGCTTAGCATCAACAGCTGATAGTAGTGGTAAGGAAGGCAGTATTTTTAAAATTCTGTAATTTTGATGAACATTTTTTGTCCGAAAGAGGCATTGATATTTTTATTTTTAGAAGAAAAACATCCTATCAGAATCAATAATTTCATTTTGCATGTGCATTTAAATTAAATTGTTACAATGATTGTATCTCCCCATCAGGTACATGTAGATCTGCATGCTGAGAATTTTTATGGAGGTTCGATCTATATTTTTACATTTTATTTGGATAATATACATATATACACATTATGATCAGAAGGAACACAAACTAGTTCAAAATCAATACTCAGCGTTTTCAATAGGGACTATGAAAAGTGAGTCCCGGGGACCCAGTGTTATAAAAATTTGGGGTCCCTCCCAAAAAAAGTGGGTCCCAATTGAAAAAAGAGAAACACTTAATAAACGTGTATTCTTTATGTTGCTTTATCATGTTTTTATTGCATGTATTTAGACCCTGGGGTCAGATTGTACAAGTGTAAATGATGAATAAGTAACGTTTATACACAAGGCGTTACAGAATGTCACATCCAAGGCCATTTGAAAGTCTTTGCACCCACTTGGGCTGGTGAAAATGTTCCTCTTTCCAGCCCTGATGCATAAACTGCACCGCATTCCTTGGCCTGCAACATACTGCAGCCAGGGGTATGTGTTTTCCCATTCTGGGAGGTACCTCTTAACTTTAGGAGGGCGTGGCATGATAATACCCTTTACCTCGTGACTTTATGATTCAATTAATAATACTCAGATTCTATCCTAAAATTAAAAATTATTTGCAAAAACATTAATTATATAGACCCAATTGACCCAATTCATGCAAGCGAAGCGAACTCTAAAGACATGAAAGAGGGGCCTGAGCCTCCCCACAGAAATGTTCTATATTTATACCTTCAAAATTGAGCAATCTAAGCATTTCCCGGAAGTCTTTTAACAGCTTGCCTTGATGCATTTCTAAATTTCAATTTTAATATTTTGTATTTTCACATTTTGTATATCCTAAATAATCATCATATTTAATCCCATGTCAAATTCTAAACCCCAGTCAATGCAATTCAATGTAATCACAGCTGTATATCTGAATATAGATGGCACGTGTGTAGACTGATTTCTTTAAGCAAAAAACTAACTATAAAATCCAAAAGATGGCAGTGTTTATATCACTTCTCACATTGAAATCTTTTTGCAAAGCCGGCCACATTTTGACCAAAATGTACCGGTTTTATCATATTGTTTCAGCAAAATAAGTATTATTAAGGTAAGTTATACTATATTTTTTAAGTTTAAGTTGTATAAGCTTGATTTATTGGGTTAAACTTGGAGAAAATGCCGTTTGACCTAAAATAATTTACTGGACAATATCCACAGTCAGCACTATCAATGGTATATTCTAAAAATATAGGGAATAGACTATAATAGAGAAAAGTCCATAAGGCGTTTGTGACAAAATTTCCCGGTAGTGTTATATTTCCATTTATCGTTCAAACTGAGACATTTATGCTAATAATTCGACGTGTATATGATTCTTACATACCCAATACGATCAAAAATGTTACTAACATACCAAATGAAAGGTGATTTCCTGGTCAAACTTGCAAAAGTTGGTCCAAACTCGCACTTGAACCGAATATTTACCGGAAGTGTTTATATTTCCATTTGGGTGTCACTACGGTAAATCATTGAAAAATATTGAAAAATCACAAAATTCAGGTTCTGGGATACATATCGCCATTTTCGAACGAATTAGCCCATACAAGAACTATATTTCTGCGTTCCCCTATACATGACCTTCATCTTGACCATATATTTAACATAGGGTTTGCGTCTTGATTTTTAAATATCACTACGCCAACACAGGGACTAATTTTTAGGTAAAATCCCTGCTTCACCGATGAAAATTAACGAATAAAGTAGTTCAAGTTTACGGGACTATATTCTTGCGATTTTTTTCTAAAAATGGCACATTTAGAAAGTAATTGGCCTCAGCTTTACATACATACCTCAAATGGCCACATTGCATACACTTAAACCTACTATACACACCATTGAAGTTTCATGGCTTCGTTTTTAAAGTATTAAAAAACACTACCCGGAAGTGGTATTTACCGTAGTAACACCTTAATATCCAAAAATGGGAAAATTTTTACTATGATAATTTTTGCTCATTCAGCATTTTTTCAAACAATTGAGTTATTTCATGCTCAAAACAGCTGCATTTTCAAACTTTTAACACATTTTCTACAAAATCTAGTCATATTTGGGGAAATAGGTGAGGGCTGAGTCTCTAAAAACTGGCCAAAATGACCTAAACTTGGGTTATCAACTTCAGAGATCTCATGCAAAAAAATTAGACGCAAAATCCCCGAGATTATTTCATTTTGAAATCATACACAGAATGTACTGAAACGTATGTTGTTAAATGCAAATATTTTGAGTCAAATGTGGTCCCCATGTGCAAAATTTGCCCTTTTTCTCCCCCTTTACGCCAGTTAGGCCCCAGTGTACTGTGACATCATACTCATACCATTGCTACAATGTAGCAATTTACAAATTAATCATGATTACTCTTCCTGTGATACACCTGTGGTAGTTGAACACTGTTTATTCCCCAGTGTGTTGATTGATTACATGCAAGCTTACTTAGTTACTTACTAAGTACGCAATAACCACCATCAAAGACCTGCCGGCACCTATTTATTTTCGGGTTGGTAATGGAATTTTACAAGGGCAATACGAGAAGAATTCAATTTTTCATTATTTAATGATAATTGCGGTAGATTTTACGGTAGTTTGAACAAGAATACTGTTAATTCAAGCAGAAATATGGTAGATTTTCAAATATTTACGGTATATTTTACGGCCGTTCTTATAGAAAAAATCTAATTATAATAAAATATTTTATGGTAGATTTTGGTAAAATTACAGTAGATTTTTTCGGTTGTTTTACAAGAAAAAACAGTAATTTTTTACGGTATTTATATTATTTTTTATGGTAGATGCCGGTAAAAATACGGTAGGTTGGCAGGTATGAGTTACCATTGCAACCGTGGAAATGGGTAAAAATGAGAGCAAAAAACACCCAGACCCGCCATAATGGCACTAATTTTCAAAATATTTCGAGACATACACATTTTCTTAAACTTTGATATCGTCTAGAACACTTCTAGACAACAAAAATATCAAAAATGGGGGGAAGGCAGGGTCGGATCTGAGAACCAACAAGGAGGGGGGGGGGGCCAAATTTCAGGTCAGAAAAAAATTTGGGGCCCCTGAAACCAAAAAGTGGGCCCAAATTTTGAGGCCCATTTTCTTCAAAATTTGGCCTGAAATTAAAAAATAAGGCCTTAAAAGGCCCAGTTATGACCAAAAAGGCCCACTATTTGGGGCCTTAAGGCCTTTTTGGCCCAAAAAATTTTTGAGCCCAATTTTTTTTTCTGGGCCCACCCAAGGGGGGGGGGGGCGGGCCCCCAGCCCCCCCCTCCTAATCCGCCAGTGGAAGGTTTATCACTTCAATTATTTTCAAGCCTTGGTCAAAGTAAAACTACGAAAAAAGCACTCATTTTCACTTTAGAATCACCTATTATCGCCCAAATGGCTATATGTTGTCAAGGTCGCCATGTTAAAAGTAGAATTAGAATGCTCTTCAGACAATGTTTGATAGCTTTCCTTTATCACGGAACAAAGACCTTTGCACTGGTATGCCCATTTCCATGAGATAATGCACGTGAAAGAGGAACAGTGTCTTTAAATGTCATCAAAACTTTTTCTCACTACTTTTGGTGTAATAATACCATCTGATTGATTGTTGGTGTAAACAATGAGTCGGGTTAATCTGCACGAGGTTCGGTTTTTCATTAAGGGAAGTACTTTATTCCCATGATTCAAAGTGCTTTTCTGCCATTGGTTCGGTTTAAGTTTGTACAACAAACGTCCACGAATCCAGGGCAGGTTGACATTATATCATTACATTTGTTTTGGGTGTATAGTTTTTGTTTTGACAATAAACAAAAAAAATCCCGCAATATATGGTGCATCATGGGTAGGACACGCTGTGAAATATGAACGTAAGTGACATCTATGTCAAATTAAATGTTCCTACAAAGTTATTAATCACGCATGCGTCATGATAACTTAAACCAATCAGATTACTGGGTTTAATGCGCACGCGCCATAAACCGAATACTTTCCCGGGATTCGGGCTTTAGGATACGATTTTACACTGACCGATTGCAAACGAGATTTAGCGAGATGAAGCGGTTGTGAAACCAAGATGGCAGAAAGTTTGTGAACTTCTAGTATTATTATATCTTACGGTAGAGTATACCATTGATAGTGCTGACTTTGTCTGACCCATATTCTCCATGCTGTATTACCCAGGATGCATCTCTGAGAAGAGGAGATTTGGATAGAGATTTAAACGAGATTTAGCGAGATGACGCGTTTGTGATACTTTTGTTGAAGAATGAGCACATTTGAACTGATTTCTACGATCTCAACGTAATTTGAGGTATGGACTTTCATTTTTAATAATACCTTGGTGTCTTATGGACCTCCGTCACTAAAAATAATAGGGAAACACTTGTGTAGAAACGTCGAATTCTTAGTCTGAAAAGTAGGGTGTCTGTAATTTTATAGAAAAATTGCCAAAAGCTTATGAACTTTTAGCTCTTACTACCACTACTTACCATTGAGAGTGCTGACTTTGACAATATCCCAGATGCGAGTAGAAATGATCTTGATTTACGTCATTAAAAACTCACAACTCGGTCAAACTGATGTTACATTTGGAATCTACATGTAAAATTACATTTAGAAATGTGGTTTTGAAAAGACTTTATCAACTTTGAAAATTTAATTTTCTTTGAAAATGTGACTTCTAGGTCGGGGAGATTCCTCATAGACCCCATGTTGTAGAACCACTAAAAATGAAATATCTTTTCTTGTGTTGGGCAGATAATATTTTCTTTTACTGGACATATTTTAATTTATAATAACTATCAGAAACATAAGGGTAATATGAAAAATTAACCACTAAAACTAATGCATATTCAAGTTTAAGAGAATTCTGTAATACCCTGCCATGTTAATTCCCCCGAATCAGCCACCTGGTGACGAAACTAGTAACTACCTACTCGCATCTGAGTAATTTTATTTCTGATATGTTTTCGCCAATTAGGGACGTTTTTCATATAAAATAACATTTGTTTGCAACCTATGGTGAGTAATGCGTCCCAAGAACGCACCAACAATTTTTTTCTGCGTCCATGACTATTTATTTACGTCCTCATAATGGGAGGACGGCGTTGTTAAAAACCCAGAATACTGGATTAAACATTGAAATGGCCATGACCTTTCCCCATTTGGGTTAACTATGGAACTTTCTGGCTTTAATCTCTGAATGAGCTTTTTCAGCAATCATGTGTACTAGATAAACTAACCTAATCCCAATTAATTGTTTGTTTGCAGAGTTCTATTGTTGGTCCTGGAAGGATGAGTTTAAGTCACAGTGTCCATATATGCCAGATATCAGCATGAAGTTTGAGAAGGCCCTACATGATGATGATGCTGAAGTGGAGTTCGAAGCAGGAAAACCAAAACGTCAATATATCCTGGATATTAAGAAAATGATACAGAGAAATGCTGAAACAAACAAGGAGACAACAGTATCTAGAACAAAATCAGGTAATAAGTTGTATGATAACTTGATTGATTGTTAACGGTCAATGATTGTATCAGCAAGCCATCAGAATGATTTACAGGGAATGCAATAATATGCAGGCAATTTCTCAACTTTTTTAACTCTACCACACCTAAATTTTAGTAAATTTACCATTTTATCTTCACCGAATATTTCAGCTGCTAAACCTCCTACTGGTGATGCACCAACTGTTGTCAAGTCTGAACCTAAAGCAGCAGCAAAAGCTACAACGAAAAGTGCTCCTAAAGGGAAGTCAACCAAATCTGCAAAAGGAGAACCAATGGATGTTGAAGAGGAAAAAAGTAAGCTCAGAGAATTTGTCAACTGTGGCATATTTTTCATTGTGTTTCTCGTTGTGTTTTGTGCTTTTCTTTTTCCAAGTTGGTACAATATCATTTTCAAGTTGGGACATATTAACTTTCATTTAATGCAGTCGTATTTTCAAACTACATTGCAAATACATTGTATAATTTGATTTTCAGATTTGTGATTCAGGGAATCATAATTTGATTGTTTTGGATGTGCCACTGTGAAGTTGCCAGTTTCTAAGGTAGTCATTTTGAAATGCCCTGGCTGGGTTTCAATGTCATAGTATGAGTACACATGCCCATTCTTTATTCCAGTAAAAACTATTGTAATGAAGGGCAAGGCTCCAGTTGATCCTGAATGCACAAAATCATCAACTGCTCATGTCTACTGTGAAGGGAGTGATGTCTACGATGCCATGTTAAATCAGGTTAGTTTGAGCAACAAATGGATCAATCAGATTAGCAATAAGGGCAATATTTGAAAAATAAAATGTTGAAACCTTGTAGTTTCATTAGCAGCAATCGACAGGCAATTTTTCTTAAAGAATTTTGCAACTGATTTCTGCTAGAAATATAATTTCGAGTTATTTTGCCAATTTTTTTTTATTTTTTGTTAGAAAGTTTAAAGAGACTCCATACCATAGGATAGCACAATCAAGACCCCTCTTGGCCTTTTTGCATATTGGGTTTCACAACATATTCACCTAGTAGTTACTTACCAACGAAGAAGTCCCAAATCCCTCACTTTCACTGTTAATTTTGAGATTGTGATGACCGATCTAATTATTTTTGCAGAAGCTAATTCAATCTGAAGTTTGAATATACTGGCAAAATTAGCCTGTTATCTGATAGGTCATTCAGTTGATTGTTGGTTTTTAGTTGATTATTTCAATATTTCGGCAATAAGTTATTCTCAAGATATGTCCATGTTATGTGTGGTATATATGAGCAATAATAATGAGACATTATTCATTGTCTCGGCGAGAAACCTATGGTATACTGCATCTTTAATGAAACCTCCCTACTCTATTATTTTGAGTAATCACTAAGTTTGTGAAGTTTTCACTTGTGAATATCTTGTCCAATTGACATGTCAATTTGCACAATTTCCCTTAAAGTCATTTTCTAATTTCTCCTTCATTTTTAGACAAACCTTATGAATAACAACAACAAGTACTACATCTGTCAGCTCTTGGAAGATGATACTAGGAAGGCATATAGTGTATGGTTTAGGTGGGGACGTGTTGGGAAGGTGGGCCAGAACAGTCTCATGCCATGTGGCCCTGACCTTGATGAGGCCAAAAAATTGTTCACTAGGAAGTAAGTATAACTAGATTTGTGAAATTGAACAAGTTCAATTTAAGACTCCAGATTTATTTGACCTAGATAGATCAGTAAAGAGCTGAGTAAGTAACTGAGTAATTAGTTGAGTAAGTACCTTAGTAGTAGTTGAGTAAGTAGCTGAGTAAGTAACTGGGTAAAAAGCTGAGTTAGTAGCTGAGTAAGTAGCTAAGTAAGTAATAACTAATTAAGCAATTGAGTAAGTAGTCAAATAAGTAGCTGAGTAGGTAGGAGGTAAAGTAGGGTATGTAGGACTTTTTGAAAGTTTATTTGACCAATCTGCATCGTGAATACTGGCAAGTGCGAATTTCAAACTTCAAAATGGCTTAGAATCTTAACCGGGGGTCGGATTGCAATTTTAATTTCAGATCCGGATTCCTTAGGAAATTATGCCCCTAATTCATAACTCATACGTTAAATTTGGAGAACTTTTTATTTTGACCTACATTTCGATCACCAGATCTCAAAAGTGGGTCTAAAAACGTCTTGACGGCAAAAAGTTAACATTATAAGCACACTCTTTGCTACATGTATACAAAATTTCGAAGAATATCATTGAAGTGTAGTGTCCGAATTGCAAAAATAAGAAAAAACTAAGAATTTGACCTAGATTTTGAACTAGGTATTTTGGTGTCCAAATTTTGAAGGAAAGTAGCTTTTGAGGTCCCCTTCTTTTATGGGCTTTCATTATGTTTAGCTGTACTCATTCTATATCTTGTATTTTTACACTTCAAAAAATTATTCGGTCCCATTGATTTAACATGGGGCACCAAATTTAGCGATTTTTGAGCTTTCAAAACATCATAACTTCTGAACAAGATGTCGAATCGAAATTTGGTTTGCAGATTCGGATTCCTGACAAAATTCTACCCCTAATTCATAACTCATACGTTAAATTTAGAATTTTTTTTATTTTTACCTACTTTTTGGACACGCCATAACTTCCGAACCGGAAGTCGGATCGAAATATGGTTTGCAGATTCCGATTCCTGACAAAATTCTACCCCTGATTCATAACTCATAAGTTAATTTGAAGAATTTTTTATTTTGACCTACTTTTGGGACACCATATCTCAAAAGTGGGTCAAAATACTTCCTGACGGCAAAAGGCTAACACTATTAGCACACTCTTGGCTACATGTATACACGATTTCGAAGAATATAATTAAAGTGTAGTGTCAGAATCGCAAAAATAAGGAAAAACTTTGAATTTGACCTAGATTTTGACCTTGGCATTTTTGTGTCCAAATTTTTAAGCTAGATGGCTTTTGAGGTCCCCTTCTTTTAAAAGCTTCCATTATATTTAGCTGAACTCAGTCTATATTTCGTATTTTTCACTTCAAAAAAATCTTTTTTCCCATTGACTTAACATGGGCACCAAATTTAGCGATTTTTGAGCTTTCAAAACGATATAACTTCCGAACCGGAAGTCGGATCGAAATTTGGTTTTCAGATTCGGAATCCTGAGAAAATTTCCTACAAGACCAGTAGCGTGGACATTGAATTGGGAGAACTTTTTTTTGGACCTCGTTTTCGGACACTGATATCTCGAAATCGGTTTGAGATATCAAAAAACTAAATCGACCTGTTTTCCCCTACTTTTTTATGAGGAACACAATGAAAAAAAACCGGATTGAAAATATTGAAGGACGACCGAGAAAATTGAAAAAAGTGACAAAGTACTGGATTTGACCTAGTTCTTGACCTTTGACCTAGATAAAAATTTGACCTAATTTCCCATCATCCCAGATACATTCCCTAGTTGATCATGTAAGCAGCTTAAAGTAAGCTCTTCTAGTTGGTGAGAAATCTGGGAAGGAGGAAGAGGAAGAAAGAATAACTAGATTTTGGAAATTGAACGAGTTCAATTTCAGACTCCAGATCTAGATTTTTTTTTAGCCGAGTCATCCAGAATAAGCCAAGTCATCCAAAATGATCATCAAGAAAAAGAAGGATGGATAGATAGATGGATGGATGAAAAAGGAAGGAAGGATAGGATAGAATAGGAAGGAACGATAGGATAGAATAGGAAAGAAGGATAGAATAGAATAGGAAGAAGGGATAGAATAGGAAGGAGAGGAAACGAAGCAAGGGTAGATAGGAAGGATAGGATAGGATCAGAAAGGAAGGATGGATGCATTTTTCAATATTTTCTTCTCTACTCTTGACTTTCTATCAGGATACCATCAGATCGATTTTTCTTGAAATTTCAAAACGCCATAACTTCAGAACCGGAAGTCGGATCGAAATTTGATTTGTAGATTCAGATTCCTGACAAAAATTTCCCCCTAATTCATAACTCATACGTTAAATTTGGCGAATTTTTATTTTGACCTACTTTTCGGACACGCCATAACTTCGGAACCGGAAGTCGGATTGAAATCTGGTTTGCAGATTCGGATTTCTGAGAAAATTCTACTCTTAATTCATAACTCAAACGTTAAATTTGGAGAACTTTTTATTTTGACCTACTTTTCAGACACCATATCTCAAAAGTGGGTCAAAATACTTTCTGACGGCAAAAGGCTAATGCTATTAGCACACTCTTGGCTACATGTATACACAATTTCGAGGAATATAATTAAAGTGTAGTGTTAGAATCGCAAAAATAAGGATAAACTATGAATTTGACCTAGATTTTGACCTAGGGATTTTTGTGTCCACATTTTGAAGTTAGGTAGCCTTCGAGGTTCCCTTCTTTCATAGGCTTTCATTATTTTAAGCTGTACTTAGTCTATATCTCGTATTTTACACTTCAAAAAATTTTTTGTTCCTATTGACATAACGTGGGGCACTAAATTTAGCGATTTTTGAGCTTTCAAAATGTAATAACTTCCGACCCGAAAGTCGGATCGAAATTTGGTTTGCAGATTCGGATTCCTGAGAAAACTCTATACTTAATTCATAACTCAAATGATAAATTTGGAGAACTTTATATTTTGACCTACTTTTCGGACACCATATCTCAAAAGTGGGGCAAAATACTTTCTGACTGCAAAAGGCTAACACTATAAGCACACTCTTGGCTACATGCATACAAAATTTCGAGGAATATAATTAAAGTGTAGTGTCAGGATCGCAAAAATAAGGATAAACTATGAATTTGACCTAGATTTTGACCTAGGGATTTTTGTGTCCAAATTTTGAAGTTAGGTAGCCTTCGAGGTTCCCTTCTTTCATAGGCTTTCATTATATTTAGCTGAACTCAGTCTATATTTCGTATTTTTCACTTCAAAAAAATCTTTTTCCCCATTGACTTAACATGGGCACCAAATTTAGCGATTTTTGAGCTTTCAAAACGCCATAACTTCCGAACCGGAAGTCTGATTCGAATTTGGTTTTCAGATTCAGAATCCTGATAAAATTTCCTATAAGACCAATATCCTGGACATTTGATTCGAAGAACTTTTTTTTGGACCTCGTTTTCGGACACTGATATCTCGAAATCTGTTTGAGATATCAAAAAACTAACTCGACCCTAGGTTTTCTACTTTTTTATAAGGAACACAATGAGAAAAACCCGGATCGAAAATATTGAAGGATGACCGAGAAAATCGAAAAAAGTGACAAAGTACTGGATTTGACCTAGTTCTTGACCTTTGACCTAGATAAAAATTTGACCCAATTTCCGAGGAACTAGATTCTGGACCTGAATTGACCAAATGACTGACTTTACTAAAAACCTTATGGTTATTGAGAAAACTGGGTTAGAATAAGAATAATAACTAGACTTGTAAATTGAACAAAGTTCAATTTAAGACTCCAGATTGATTTACTTGAGTAAAGAGCTGAGTAAGTAACTGAGTAGGAAGCTGAGTACGTAGATGATTAAGTAATTGAGTAAGTAGCTGAGAAAGCAGCTGAGTAGGTAGCTAAGTAGCTGAGTAGGTAGCCGAGTTAGTAGCTGAGAAGTAGGTAGCTAAGTAGGTAGCCAAGTAGGTATGTATGTAGGTAGGTAAGTAGGAATTTTTGACCGGAAGTCGGATTGAAATTTGGTTTGCAGATTCGGATTCCTGGGAAAATTTTACCTTTAATTCATAACTCATAAGGGACATTTTGAGAATTTTTTATTTTGACCTACTTTTAGGACACCATATCTCAAAAGTGGGTCAAAATACTTTCTGACGGCAAAAGGCTAACATTATTAGCACACTCTTTGCTACCTGTATACAACATTTCGAAGCAAATCATTAAAGTGTAATGTCAGAATCGCAAAAATAAGCAAAAACTATGAATTTGACCTAGATTTTGACCTAGGCATTTTGGTGTCCAAATTTTAAAGCTAGATAGCCTTCGAGGTCCCCTTCTTTTATAGGCTTTCAGAATTTTAAGCTGTACTCAGTTTATATCTGGTATTTTACACTTCAAAAAAATCTTTTTTCTCATTGACATAACATGGGGCACCAAATTTAGCGATTTTTGAGCTTTCAAAACGCCATAACTTCCGAAAGTCGGATTGACATTTAGTTTGCAGATTCAGATTCCTGGGAAAATTCTACCCTTAATTCATAGCTCATACTTTAAATTTGGAGAACTTCTTATTTTGACCTACTTTTCGGACACCATATCTCAAAAGTGGGTCAAAATACTTTCTGACGGCAAAAGGCTAACACTATTAGCACACTCTTTGCTACCTGTATACAAAATTTTGAAGTAAATTATTAAAGTGTAGTGTCAGAATCGTTAAAATAAGGAAAAACTATGAATTTGACCTAGATTTTGACCTAGGCATTTTGGTGTCCAAATTTTGAAGCTATGTAGCTTTGGAGGTTCCCTTCTTTTACAAGCATTCATTATATTAAGCTGTACTCAGTCTATATCTTGTATTTTACACTTCGAAAAAGTCTTTTTTCCCATTGACTTAACATAGGCACCAAATTTAGTGATTTTTGAGCTTTCAAAACGCCATAACTTCCGAACCGATAGTCGGATTGAAATTTGGTTTGCAGATTCGGATTCCTTGGAAAATTCTACCCTTAATTCATAGCTCATACGTTAAATTTGGAGAACTTTTTATTTTGACCTACTTTTCGGACACCATATCTCAAAAGTGGGTCAAAATACTTTCTGACGGCAAAAGGCTAACACTATTAGCACACTCTTTGCTATCTGTATACAAAATTTTGAAGCAAATTATTAAAGTGTAGTGTCAGAATCGTAAAAATAAGGAAAACTATGAATTTGACCTAGATTTTGACCTTTGACCTAGATAAAAATTTAACCTAATTTCCCAGAAACTAGATCTCATCTTCTTACTGACCCTGTAAGTAGATTTGAGTAAGGTCTTCTAGTTGCTGAGAAAACTGGTTCGGAAAGAAAAATAATAATAACTAGACATGTAAATTGAACAAGTTCAATTTAAGACTCCAGATTTAAAACTTTTTTTAAGCTGAGTCATCCAAAATACTGTAAACTGAGCAATTCAGAATAAGCTGAGTCGGCTAGAATATAGACATTTAGACAACTTTTAAGAATGTTATCTTCGACTCAATTGGCTTAACATGGGGATACCATCATATCGACTTTTCGAGACTTCAAACCGCTATAACTATCTAACCAGAAGTTGGATTGAAATTTAGTTTAAAGATTCGGATTCCTGAGAAAATTCTAACCTTAATTCATAACTCATACGTTAAATTTGGGGAACTTTTTATTCGGACCTACATTTCGGACACCATATCTCAAAAGTGGGTCAAAATACTTTCTGACGGCAGAAGGCTAACACTATAAGCACACTTTTGCTACCTGTATACAAAATTTTGAAGCAAATCATTAAAGTGTAATGTCAGAATCGCAAAAATAAGGAAAAAACTATGAATTTGACCTAAATTTTGACCTAGGCATTTTGGTGTCCAAATTTTAAAGCTAGATAGCCTTCGAGGTCCCTTTCTTTTATAGGCTATCAGAATGTTAAGCTGTACTCAGTTTATATCTGGTATTTTACACTTCAAAAAAATCTTTTTTCTCACTGACATAACATGGGGCACCAAATTTAGCGATTTTTGAGCTTTCAAAACGCCATAACTTCCGAACCGTAAGTCGGATTGAAATTTGGTTTGCAGATTCGGATTCCTGGGAAAATTTTTCTCTTAATTCATAGCTCATATGTTAAATTTGGAGAATTTTTTATTTTGACCTACTTTTCGGACACCATATCTCAAAAGTGGGTCAAAATACTTTCTGACGGCAAAAGGCTAACACTATAAGCACACTCTTTGCTACCTGTATACGAAATTTTGAAGTAAATTATTAAAATGTAGTGTCAGAATCGTAAAAATAAGGAAAAACTATGAATTTGACCTAGATTTTGACCCAGGCATTTTGGTGTCCAAATTTTGAAGCTATGTAGCTTTTGAGGTCCCCTTCTTTTATAAGCATTCATTATGCTAAGCTGTACCCAGTCTATATCTTGTATTTTACACTTCGAAAAAGTCTTTTTTCCCATTGACTTAACATAGGCACCAAATTTAGCGATTTTTGAGCTTTCAAAATGCCATAACTTCCGAACCGGAAGTCTGATTCAAATTTGGTTTGCAGATTCGGATTCCTGAGATCATTCTACACTTATTTCATAACTCACATGTTGAATTTGGAGAATTTTTTGTTCTGACCTACTTTCCGGACGCCATATCTCAAGATCGGTAGGAGTAATTAAAATTCTGATGTCATGTCTTTGTTTCGCCTTTTTCAAAGCTACACGATGAAAAAAAGATGAAGGAGTTACGAAGAATATTGACGAAGATATGATGAAGAATGTTGAAAATGTAAGATTTGACCTAGTTCTTGACCTTTGACCTAGATAAAAATTTGACCTAATTTCCCAGAAAGCCGGATACAGTCTTTAGTTAACCATGTAAGTTGGATTAAGTAAGCTGTTATAGTTAACGAGAAATTTGGTGAGGAGGAAGAAAAAAGAAAAATAATAAAGAAAACAGGCAAAAACAATAGACTCCAGATTTTCAATCTGGAGTCTAATAAGAAAACTGGCAAAAGCAATAGACTCCAGATTTTCAATCTGGAGTCTAATAAAAAGAATAATAAGAATAAGAAAACTGACGAAAACAATAGACTCCAGATTTCATCTGGAGTCTAATAATAATAATAAGAAAACTGGCAAAAGCAATAGACTCCAGATTTTCATCTGGAGTCTAATTATCATATACCCATTGTGTATTTGGATCCTCATTGACAGCAGTATGGTCACAATTGATATGAAGATATGAACTAAAATATTTTAAACAGGGCAGATGAAAAGTGCTAATGACCTGTAACATCAATTACTTTTGATCTTCCCTGATAGCAGAGTATATAGAAATTGAAAGACCAATGTCTTTTGTCTTCATGCTTACATATTTAAGAAAATACTCCCAATGCAGGATAACATCAATAATTTCATTTTTAATATACATGTACAGTAAAACCTGTCTAAATGGAACACCTTTGGTATCTCTAAAGTCTTCCACTAGGGAGGTTTCCACTTTCAGAGGTGTTCCATTTTACAGGTTTCACTGTACTGGTCATTTTACTGATATGGTGTCGGAGAAATAATTATGTTATGACAAAAATGTTCAATGAAGACTTGATTAAAACACCTTGTAGGTTCCATGATAAGACAAAGAATGACTGGTCCCTAAGGAATAAGTTCAGCAAGGTGGCTGGAAAATATGATCTCGTTAAGATGGATTACTCGGCAAAGGTGAGTGATTCAGAACAATTAATGAAGGAGTAAAGAATGACATTTTGGTTTAATTAGCTCTAATATACATGCATATTGTGCTATTATTTACAAATGATCAGTCATTTCTTAAAAGGGATATTATGATTTTTATAAATGTTTTGAGGCCAGCTCAATTTAATGTTTTTATTTTCAATTTTTTATTTAACATGCAGGGTGACACTGATGAAGTTGATTCAGGAAACCCAACTATCAAGAAGGAGCCTGGGATTAAGATACCTCCTTCAAAACTTGATAAACGAATTCAGGTAAATTAAGTACTATACATCTGCCTTTAACATGAAGAAATATAGGAATATCCTATGGTTTTGAAAAAATATCATTTATATCCATGAGGGGATATTGATATCTTCACGAGTGGACACAGCCAATGAGAAAATATATTGATATCCATGAAAATACGCCCAGTGCATTTAGAGTATTTTCTTCAAATAAAGGATTGTCTGTTTATAATACGAAATGCCCAGCAAGCATTCAAATCACAACAATCACAAAAAATGAAATTAAAAAAACATTGTGCAGAATTATTAATAAGGAATGTGGGATTTTTGATAAAATATGTTATCACATGATAAGGAGTGTCTAAGCATTTTGATTGGTCAATTGTGATGATGTATATTCCGTATCACATGACACGTGACTAATTTTCATGTGAAATCTTGGGCTGTATCACTACGGAATCAATAGCAACGTTGTGACGTCACTGGTTATATCACTTCCTAGCTAAGGAAAACATTATGACATCATACTTTTTCACAAACAAGTATGAATTCAACGGTATGACGTCATTATATTGTTTCAAAGCGAAATCAAAAATTATAATAGTTCTATGTAAGTTCATCTCTCTGGTTAATATATCCGAAACAATTCAAATTCTTTACTTCAGAGAATATTTTTTAATTTATTGAGACTTTCGACTAATATCCCTTAGTCTTTTTCAAAATATAACAGCATGTATACATTTATGTGACGTCATAAACAGACAATGGAAAATTTAATTATGTAACAAATGACCTAGTAACCTAAAAAATAAAAACAACAAAAAACATAGATACGAAAAAACGAATGACCTAATAATAACCTTAAGATAAATATATCATTGTTATGGTAACAATTAAACTCAAATATTACTATTGCATACTTTGCTATACCATTCTTAATTTACAATATTTTATGATACAAATTGTCCAACTGATACCCATTATCTCTGTTCATTTTAGGTTGCATTGTTTTAATATGTCTTTGAATTGCTTCCTTAACCCTACGTTTAAGATCATGACTCTCATTATCAATGATTTTTACATTGTTCCAGTTTATATTATGATCATATTCCATGGAATGTTCAATAACCGCAGAAGCAAGACCTCCAGTCGACAGTAATGTGGGTCTACGATGTTCTCTGATTCTAGTAACTAGTTCCCGCTTTGTTTCACCTACATAAGTGGCAATACAGTCTTTACAATCAATTTTGTAAATTACACCGGACTTCTTTTGATCATTAGTTTTGTCCTTTAAATGCACCAACTGTTTCTTGATAGTATTCTGCGATGAGAAACATACTCGGACACGATGCCTTTTAAAAATACGCCGTAACTGGTTGGAAATACTAGGGATATACGGAAGAACTGCAGTACACCTTATATCGTCATGAAAAGATTGACCGTGATCCAACAAAATCATATAAAGATAAACTGATAAAGTTAGTTCAGAGTCTTCGTGATAAAAAGGAAATATCCTCTGATTTGTATAAGAAAGTATACCCATCATCTGCAACAATCCCAAAATTTTATGGTCTACCGAAAGTTCATAAAGAAAACATACCATTGAGACCAATAGAATCCAGTATTGGAAGTCTCACGTACAATTTGGCAAAATACCTTGCCGACATTTTGAAGCCATTAGTTGGAGAAAATGGTTATAGCATTAAGAATACTGAAGACTTTGTTCAAAAAGTAAAAAATCATAAAGTTGATGAAACAGAGTGCACTGTGTCTTATGATGTTAAGTCGTTGTTTACTAGTGTTCCGGTTGTAGAGGCAGTGACAATTGCAGTGCAGAAACTCGAAGCAGATGATACTTTACCACAGAGAACAGGACTTAGACCGTCAAGTATTGGTGAACTTTTGAAATTTTGTCTTCAGACCACTTACTTTATTCGTGATAACCAATTTTATATTCAAAAAGAAGGTGCAGCAATGGGATCGCCCCTATCTCCGATCATAGCGAATCTGTTCATGGAAAATCTTGAAGAAAAGGCCATTGAAAATGCTCCAATTCCTCCAAAATTTTGGGGTCAATTTGTTGACGACACGTTTGTGATCATAAAGAGGGATTATGAACAATCGTTTAGTGAACATTTGAATAAACAACACGAGAGAATAAAATTCACCAAGGTAGTATGTTCCGCCGATAAACGTCTCCCATTTTTGGATACGATGTCCCAGATTGAACAAGACGGATCTTTGTCATTTAGTGTTTACCGCAAACCAACGCACACAAATCAGTATTTGCATTTCCAATCAAATCATTCTCTTGATACTAAAAGAGGAGTTGTCAAATCCCTCTTTAGGAGGGCAGAAACATTGGTAACTAAAAAGGAAGATCTAAAGATAGAAAAGGAACTGGTTTGCCGATCATTAAAGGAGTGTGGGTACCCGGAATGGCTGATTAAAGAAGGTGAAAGACATGCGACAAATAATGTAAACAGAACAAGAAATGATGACGATATAAGGTGTACTGCAGTTCTTCCGTATATCCCTAGTATTTCCAACCAGTTACGGCGTATTTTTAAAAGGCATCGTGTCCGAGTATGTTTCTCATCGCAGAATACTATCAAGAAACAGTTGGTGCATTTAAAGGACAAAACTAATGATCAAAAGAAGTCCGGTGTAATTTACAAAATTGATTGTAAAGACTGTATTGCCACTTATGTAGGTGAAACAAAGCGGGAACTAGTTACTAGAATCAGAGAACATCGTAGACCCACATTACTGTCGACTGGAGGTCTTGCTTCTGCGGTTATTGAACATTCCATGGAATATGATCATAATATAAACTGGAACAATGTAAAAATCATTGATAATGAGAGTCATGATCTTAAACGTAGGGTTAAGGAAGCAATTCATATTAAAACAATGCAACCTAAAATGAACAGAGATAATGGGTATCAGTTGGACAATTTGTATCATAAAATATTGTAAATTAAGAATGGTATAGCAAAGTATGCAATAGTAATATTTGAGTTTAATTGTTACCATAACGATGATATATTTATCTTAAGGTTATTATTAGGTCATTCGTTTTTTCGTATCTATGTTTTTTGTTGTTTTTATTTTTTAGGTTACTAGGTCATTTGTTACATAATTAAATTTTCCATTGTCTGTTTATGACGTCACATAAATGTATACATGCTGTTATATTTTGAAAAAGACTAAGGGATATTAGTCGAAAGTCTCAATAAATTAAAAAATATTCTCTGAAGTAAAGAATTTGACTTGTTTCTGATAAAATTATAATAGTTACCGGGAGTACAGGCTGAACACAATCCAAACCTGACCAAATCAATATGCTTCAAAATTCCTAGACATGTAATAAAATCGTCATCACACGTTTCAGCTTATGTGATACAGGAAATATTCCACTCGGGTAACAATGTATCACCACTCAAGCTTCGCTTTCGTGGATGATACAGTATTACCTTTCGTGGAATATTTCCTGTATCACATGCTGAAACATGTGATAACTGATAATATCTTGACCCACATATTAAATATATGTCGCTTTATATTTGATCTATATCCTATGCAACCATATCACCCTTGGTATACGCAGCTAACGAAAATTGACCGGTACGGGTCAAAAGCTGGACCGGTACGGGTTAACGGTTTTATTTGAATTTAAAATAGCCATAACTTGCTCAATATTGACTTCCTCGTGTCTAATTTGAAATATATGATGCCTCCCGATGCTTTTAAGTACCCCAATTTTTAACAGATTTTTAAACGGACCAAAACTCTCTAAATGCGCATTTATGCTCTTTTCTCTCGAGAACGACTGTCTCATTTTCACGATAACTTTTATTTAGTACTTCTAACATATAAGATCTATTTTTCCCCATCAAGGTATGATGTAAATGACATGCTATTTACATCTTGTGAGTTTCAATGACGCGCATTTGATTTTATAAAAAATGCCAAACTTTGTGACAAAGAATTTCATCAGCTATTGCCCCGAACCGGTCCGTCTTCTCGCTGCAAGCAGATTGCCCCGAACCGGTCCGTCTTCTCGCTGCAAGCAGGATGAAATTCTTTGTCACAAAGTTTGGTATTTTTTATAAAATCAAACGCGCGTCATTGAAACTCACAAGATGTAAATAGCATGTCATTTACATCATTCCTTGATGGGGAAAAATAGATCTTATATGTTAGAAGTACTAAATAAAAGTTATCGTGAAAATGAGACAGTCGTTCTCGAGAGAAAAGAGCATAAATGCGTATTTAGAGAGTTTTGGTCCGTTTAAAAATCTGTAAAAAATTGGGGTACTTAAAAGCACCGGGAGGCATCATATATTTCAAATTAGACACGAGGAAGTCAATATTGAGCAAGTTATGGCTATTTTAAATTCAAATAAAACCGTTAACCCGTACCGGTCCAGCTTTTGACCCGTACCGGTCAATTTTTGTTAGCTGCGTATACCAAGGGTGCATAGGATAAAAGAATCATATAAGTGGAGTAAATATGAAGTTCTCATAATTTTTCTCTATTTTCTCTTCAAGGACATAGTCAACATGATCTGTGATATAAAATCCATGGAGGATAGCGTCATTGAGATGAAGTACGATGCCAAGAAAGCTCCATTGGGTAAAAACATAATCATCTCAACTTTCACTTTTGATCAACATTTTAATTACTACTTTTAACATCATATAAATATATGAACGCAACATTTAGAATATATAAATATAAATAAAATATATGACTAACAACTTGATAGCCTGCTTTAGATAGTAAAAGAATTCATGACATACATGAATGCATCCTCCTAAGCAGGTGTCCAGAATCCGTACCTCCTTCTTCCCCCTGCTATAAGCAGTTAGCATTTCCCCAATTAAGAACTCACAATTTGATTCGCTGTTGCAACACTGCGACAGCAATAATGTATATGTCATCGGCGCATAATTAGATCGCGTGATTCAGTATAATCGGGCGCTTCCAACTTGGTTATAGCAGGGGGTAAAAAGAAAGAATGTATTCTGGATGACATGAATGTAAATGTTTTGAATCCAAGATCTTCACTGTCTTTCTCTTGGTATATAACTACATTATGATTTTGATGACTAGACTCAATTAACGAAATGTAATGCAATAAGCATTTACCTACAATATCTTTATGTTGATAGGTAAACTGGGTAAAGACCAGATAAAAGCTGGCTACACAGCCTTAAAGAAGATTGACAAATTTGTTCGGGAGGAAAACTATGGAAAGGGATTAGTGCAAGCCTGTGATGAATTTTATACAAGGATTCCACATGATTTTGGGTATGTACTTCAGACACAATATTTATCTCTTCTGACTCTTAAGAACATCTTTTAGTAATTCATCTGGTTTAGCATTCGTCATCTGTAACAAATAGCAGGTGGTAACATTTTGCATGCCTTATTAGTGTTTCTTTTTATTGGTTTTTAGCTGTCACATATATGTGCTCTTCTCTTTATTGAAAAGATTTGATGAAAAAGAGATTATATTAACTTGTTCGTGAAGTAAATGATGACTGAAACATTGAACTAATTAGCCATCATGATATATGATTTTAGTATGAAAAGACCACCAGTGCTTCGTACCAAAGAAGAAGTAAAAGCAAAGCTGAACTTGCTAGAAGCTCTAGATGATATAGAAGTGGCACTCAAAATGCTGAAGAAGAAGGGAGATATAAATGAAAATCCTGTTGATACTCACTATAAAAATCTGAACTGTACTTTGAAACCTTTAGAGAAATCTCATGCAGACTTTAAGGTAAAATTTTTTTGCCTCTTTTTTACCTCAAAGATGAGGAAATGTTCCTATGGATCACAAGTTTGAAGTGACAAAATTCATTCAAAAAATTACATGAATATTTTTATACATTTTTTTTAGATTTCGCAAACATATAAAGCATAACTTCCAAAATAAAAATATTGAAAGTTCATTATTTATCAACATATTGGTCAAAAAAGCATAGCACAATAGTTCATTAAAATGAAAAAGATAGAGAGGGCAGCATTTTGAGTGAAACACCATTTTGCAAAACCAATAGTGCAGTCAGAATGCGCCTAAATGCGTGCGTTCAGAGGGATTTTACGGGACATAATTTTTCATGTTGCTAGTATGATTTCACATATTTGTATGAATTATTAGATCCTAGTTTTTCAGCTTTTAGATTTTGTGGCCATTTTACCCCCCATGGGCTATAATTTGGACCCCTACTATAAAATTAGGCAAGCACTCAAAAAATACTCAGTGGAATGTATCCAAATTGCTATGGTATATTGGTATGGGCTAATTGAATATATGATAAAAATTTCAAGTCACATGGTTAAGTGGTTGCCATGGAAATGGATAAAACATACCCTTCGGGTGTCAATTTTCAGGCCAATTTTTCAGGAATGATAGAGTCATTTTGTGCATATTTTGTCACCAGTGTGTTAGGAAGGGTTGAAGTGTAAATAGAAAACATCTATAATATGTTACCCCCCTATCACACCAAACTAGTTCTTACCCGTTCTTGCCAGTCCTACGAAAACGTCGTAAAACGGGCTCAATCTGGCTGCGGTCGGGATATATGTCTAAAATAATTAGCTACTTCGTTCATAAACAGTCTTCAATACGTCCATCTCATCCGCAGTTCGTTCAGGTCGCACCACGTCGGTGTGCAACGTAGTATAAACGGTCCCTTAGTCTAGAAGGTCATCATGACCTGATTACAGAACGGTATGGTCGCCATCGAATTTTGAATCGATTCAAATTTCTAAAATCACCTTCCCGTCTGAGGACGTTCATGAAGTTCGTAAATAGACCTTAGAAAGTAGCAGCTACGTTCATTCCGTTCGCACACAGTTTAAAACCAGTTTTGAAGAACGCAGTGGCAACTTGTTTGGTGTGATAGCTATATTTTTGCTAACTCGTTCATAAGCAGTCTTAAATACGTTCTTAGTCAGTTTAAACCCGTTGGCAATTAGTTCTACCTCGTTCTCAATACGTCCTCGGACAGTTCAACTCGTTGTAAAAACGTCCCTAGTAGGATTGAAGTACGACGGCTCCGTTCGTAGTACGTCCAGCTCGTCGTTAGTACGTTGTCACTCGTTCTAATTGTAGAACGTGACAACCACTAGAACATTTTGAACATGTTCTAAGTTCTAGGGGACCTACCCGTTCGAGTACGTTCGATGAAGTTTGCAAATAGACCCCAAACGGTTCTTAGTACGTCCAGTCCGTTCGTACACAGTTGAAGCCCGTTTTCGAGAACGCAGTGAGAACTAGTTTGGTGTGATAGTAGGGTTAGCAACAATCTTATGTAAAGATCAGTCCACAGAATCTCAGATTTTGGCCTTATATGGGTCCATGATTTATACAGGGGCCTATTTCACAGATTCGAACCCCCACATTGGATGGATGCTATAACTTTTGAAATAAGGGAGATACAGGTCTAATTTTTTCAGATCTTCATAAATGGCTGGTTTTAAGTATTGTATCATACTTTGGGAGCTGGTATATGATTGGTTGCCATGGTAACCAGGGTTTTAGGGAAATTCTGACCCCCTCATTGGATGGATGCTATAACTTTTGAAATAAGGGTGATACATGTCTCATTTTTTCAGATCTTAGACAATTATTGATTTTAAGTATTAAATCAGACTTTGAGAGCTGAAATTTGATTGGTAACCATGGTAACTAGGGTTTTATTGAAATTCAGACCTCCACAATTGATAAATGGTATAACTTTTGAATTCAAGCAGATACAGATATCAGCTTTTCAGAACTTAAAAGATAATTAGACTTGTGTCTTGTGTCAGACTTTGGAGGTTACAATTTACTTGGTTGCCATGATAACCATGTTTCATTGTCATGGAAACTTCATTTTTGATTTCAGATTTACCTTCATTTGAGAATGGTCTAGACACAACATAGAACGCAAAATTGCTCAAAATTATCATTTTACTCTTAATTTCAGCATTTTTCCATGTGTGTCTGACAGTATTGCCTCATTCCATTCTACTAGTTCTCACACATTTGTTTTTACTCATCATTATAGTTTTCATCTTCCACAATGGTCTCTTAATTTAAAATATCAACAATTTCAACAAGGAAGGATTCTTTTGACCATTGAGGTGTTAAGGATTACTCGGGGAATTCATAATTCATTCATGCAGTGTTTGGTTTGGTAGAGCTGTGTTTAGGCTGGTGGGAATGTTTCCATACACATGTTTGATAATTCACCATCTTTAAATGTGAAAGAGTTGAAATGTCAACACCTTCATAAGTGAGGGCAGCACTGTTCTGTTTTTGAGAATACTATTCTAGTATCTCATGTGAAACAGCTCATCTCGTAATCTATTAGTGGCAGTTTTTTTTGTAATTCAGCTGTACTTTTGCAGGTGAACAATTCAACTTTGGATTTTATGGTATCAGGAATTTCTATATTGTTTCCTATTGAAGGAAACAACAAGAATTGCTTGTCTTCAGGTTCAGTTGATTTATTTTACTTTTGATCAGATCCAGTAACAATAAAATCCAAAGTTGAATTGTTCACATGCAAAAGAACAGCAGAATTACAAGAATACATTTGTAACTGACATCAATAAATTACGATATGAGCTGTTTCACATAAGATATTCTCCAAAACAGTACTGCCCTCATCATTCAGATCCAGTAACGCATTGAAGGCTAATATGGCTTCACACAGTACTTCGTTCTAAGTTTGCAGCTACAGAGGTTTGGTTGAGCATGTGACATCTAATGGGACAGAGTTCACATCAGTTGAGGTTCTTAAAGTTGTTTTCTTCATTTATTTATTTATTTATTTAGAAAAATGTATATACAATAATAATACATGACTAATACTGACACCAAATGGCATATAAAAGTATAATGTCAAGTATCAAAAAAAAAGTATCACTAGCAAATATAAAAAATATATATATATAGTCTAACTAGTTTACAAGGGTATATAGGTATATGAGTTTTATATATACAAGTATTTACATGATATAACATAGTACAATGCATACACTAAGCATGTATGTACGTTGTGTTTAAATGATGTGCCATGACTATTGTAATATACAATGCGTGGATAGTAAATAAAGATGTTTAATAAGACAGATTTTTTATAAGTAGCTTGACAAGAGGTCAGATTTGTAGGCCTTTTTAAAGGAGGTTATAGATTTTGACATTTTTGTGGAATTTTTAAGAGAATTCCATAGTGAAGGCCCATTCCGTTTTATGGAAAATTTGTTCGCATGTTCAATATGGAAGTTGTCACATTGGCGGGTATTATAACTATGTGTATCACTGTTTATTTGGAAATTTGTATCGAGTAGTGAATTTAGTATTTGGTCACCATCTTTTACTTGGTACATGAAAATTGCTGTATTCAGCTTATTTATATCATATATATTCAGAAGATTAAGTTCTTTGAATAATGGAGCTGTATGATCAAGGTATTTTTTTCCTAAAACAATGCGAACAAATCGTTTTTGAATCATGTGAATTTTATTAAGATAAGATTTGTAGTTGTTACCCCAAATAATATTGCAGTAATTGAGTTGAGAGTGAATAAGAGAGTAGTATATACTGAGCAAAGCACTTTTTGTTAAAAGATTATGGACTCCATACAAGACCCCAATGCACTGAGAAATCTTTTTTTCTAAGTTTTTGATATGCTCTTTGAAAGTTAAATTGGCATCAATGGCTATTCCTAAAAAAGATATAGTGATGTCTTGCTTGAGTTTGGTGTCATTTATTTTGAGAAAATGATTGTTAGGAAACAATATAGAAATTTGAAGAGGATGAATGACAAATCCTAAATGTTGGAGTGAGCAATCATTACAAGGTGGAAGATATTCTACATAGCAGCTAATGTAATGCTTTTAAGATCTGATATGAGAATGCCCTCTAAATTATGACTTGAGGTATGGCAATGGTCTGATTTTTCCACTTACTGGTATGAGAATGGTCTTGGAAAATATGTTACCCCTCACTTACTGGTATGGCATTGGTCTAGTATATATCCTTTATAATGTGAAGTTGTTTTTGGTTGTTTTCCTCAAAGGTCTGCCTTCTTCTCGGGGCATTAGACATTTTGAATGGCCATGTTGTTATATCTATTTTTTATTTATTATTATGTATTTGATATTTTATGAGCCAAACAATTTTTGCCTCTCTAGTATTAATGAGTCATGACATGAGCATGTAAATCATATAAAATAGAAAAAATCCAAAAATTAAGAATAAAATGGCAATTTGGTGTATTATATCATGTATTGACCTATCTAGAATGAAGGTGAATCTAAAAACAAAAACGGCAGTTACCATGAAAATGAAACATGGTTACCATGGCAACCAAGTAAATCCTAACTTCCAAAGTCTAATACAATATACACATTTTATTATTATCTTATATCTGAAAAGATGATATTTGTATCTGCCTGTATAAGTATAGTGTTTATCAATTGTGGAGGTCTGAATTTTAACAAAACCCTGATTACCATGGTAACCAATCAAATACCAGCTCCCAAAGTCTGAATCAATCCTTAAAATCAATTATTGTCTAAGATCTGAAAAAAATGAGACACGTATATCCCTTATTTCAAAAGTTATAGCATCCATCCAATGTGGGGGTCCGAATTTCCATAAAACCTTGGTTACCATAGCAACCAATCACATACCAGCTCCCAAAGTATGATACAATACTTGAAACCAACCATTAATGAAGATCTGAAAAAATGAGACCATCTCCATTATTTCAAAAGTTATAGCATCCATCCAATGTGGGGTCCGAATTTCCATAAAACCTTGGTTACCATAGCAATCAATCACATACCAGCTCCCAAAGTATAATACAATACTTAAAACCAACCATTTATGAAGATCTGAAAAAATTAGACCTGTATCTCCATTATTTCAAAAGTTATAGCATCCATCTAATGTTGGGGTTCGAGTCTGTGAAATGGACCCCTGTATAAATCATGGACCCATATAAGGCCGAAATCTGAAATCATGTGGACTAATCTTTATATAAGATTGTTGCTAATATATTATATAAGTTTTCTATTCATACTTTAACCCTTCCAAACACAATGGTGACAAAATATGCATGAAATGACTCTATCATTTCGGAAAAATGGCCTGAAAATCAACACCTGAAGGGTATATTTTATCTGTTTCCATGGCAACCGCTTAACCATGTGACATGAAATTTTTATCATATATTCAGTTAGCCCATACCAATATATCCAAGTAATTTGGATACATTCCACTGAGTATTTTTGGAGTTACAGCCCAATTTTATAGTAGGGGTCCAAATTATAGCCCATGGGGGGTAAAATGGCCACAAAATCTAAAAGCTGAAAAACTAAGATCTAATAATCCATACAAATATGTAAAATCATACTAGCAACATGAAAAATTATGTCCCATAAAATCCCTCTGAACGCACGCCTAAACCCTCATTCTGACTGCACTAATTAATTTTTAAGATCTGAAATGATAATATCTGTATCTGCTTAAATTCAAACGTTAAAGCATTTATCAATTGAGGAGGTCCAAATTTCAATAAAACTATAGTTACCATGGTAACCAATCAAATTTCAGCTCCCAAAGTCTAATTTAATATTTATAATCAATCATTGTCTAAGATCTGAAGTAATGAGACATGTATCTCCCTTATTTCAAAAGTTATAGCATCCATCCAATGTGGGGGTCAGAATTTCCCTAAAACCCTGGTTACCATGGCAACCAATCATATGTCAGCTCCCAAAGTATCATAAAATACTTAAAACTAACCATTTATGAAGATTTGAAAAAATGAGACCTGTATCTCCATTATTTCAAAAGTTATAGCATCCATCCAATGTGGGAGCTCGAGTCTATGAAATAGACCCCTGTATTAGTCATGGACCAATACAAGGCCAACATCTGAGGTTTTGTGGACTGATCTTAACATGCAATTGTTGCTAATATATTATAAAAGTTTTCTATTTACATTTTAACCATTCCTAACACATTGGTGACAAAATATGCATGAAATGACTCTGTCAGTCCTGAAAAATTGGCCTGAAAATTGACACTCGAAGGGCATGTTTTATCCATTTCCATGGTAACCACTTAACCATGTGACATGAAATTTTTATCATATATTTAGTAAGCCTATACCAATATAATTTAGTAATTTCGAAACATTCAACTGAGTATTTTTTGAGTTCTTGCCCAATTTTATAGTAGGGGTCCAAATTTTAGCCCATGGGGGGTAAAATGGCCACAAAATCTAAAAGCTGAAAAACTAAGATCTAATAATCCATATAAATATTTATAATCATAGTAGTAACATGAAAAATTATGTCTCATAAAATCCCTCTGAACGCACGCCGAAACCCACATTCTGACTGCACTACACAGCTTTAAACAAATATGAATCACAAATGTCAAATGTTTACTGTCTATGTATTTTTTTTAGATGGTTGAAGACTATGTAACCAACACACATGCCCCAACACATCAGCAATATAAGATGCATGTGGAGGAAGTCATGTTTACTGTATATGTATTTATGTTTAGATGGTTGAAGACTATGTAACCAACACACATGCCCCAACACATCAGCAATATAAGATGCTCGTGGAGGAAGTTATGCAATGTGATAAAGAAGGAGAAACTGAAAATTATAAAGATTATGGAAACAAGTAAGAACAACATTTGATTAAGGAATCAATCTCAGGGTTATTTGTTCAGGGCAAGCCTGACTCGCATATACCTTCACTCTTGCAGATATAATCATTTCAAGGGAAATTTATTCCCAAGAACTTCTTTGAAAAGTTGCATTTCTGTGTCTCCAAGATTTATAATTAAAGAATTAGTAGGGGTGATTCAAATATGAGTTTTCAACATCATCATGAAAAGATATTCAAAAGGCGATAGAGTTCAGTTAAAATGATGTTTCTAGAGTGAATGAATAGATCATACTGATTTTTTTAATAAATAATAAAAAATAGTATCATTTTTGGTAGATTCCCCTAGTGGTTGATCAAGTTTGTAGGTCTGCCTATGCCAATAAATGAACAATCAGTGTCTGGCGTGAAGCCATTTTTAGTGACATTATGTAGGGGGCCTACATGAACAAGGCCTGACTACAGACCTTTATCAACCATTCAGCCATATATTCAATGTTTCAGGATGCTCCTATGGCATGGCTCTAGGCTGACCAATTATTGTGGCATATTAAGCCAAGGTCTCCGAATTGCACCACCTGAGGCACCCGTTACAGGGTATATGGTGAGTATTGTATTTGTATGTTTGAAAGTAACTCTCTTTCAAGAATTGATGCAAACAAGCAAAATATAATGGTGACTCTGACCTCCCCCACTGAACTAAATTCACAGGCCCGTAGCCAGGGGGGGGGGTTCGCAGGGTTCGGGCGAACCCCCCCCCCCCCCTGGCCAAAAATTCTTTCAAAATCATGCAGTTTTTCACCATTTTGAGCACTTCTCAAGTGATTTTAGTCTAATTTGGGCCAAAATTGTCAAATGTGAACCCCCCCTGGAAATTTTTGAAAATTGAACCCCCCCCTTGGCAAATCCTGGCTATGGGCCTGATTCATCAACATGATAATTAATGGTGTTTATCGATATATTCATCCTTCGATCACAGCGCTTCAAAATCCAGAATATCTTCTTTCTTTTTACCCCCTAATATAACCAAGTTGGAAGCACCCGATTAAACTGAATCACGTGATCTAATTATGCGCCGATGACGTATACATGATTGCTGGCGCAGTGTTGCGACACGCAATCAAATTGCCAGTTCTTAATCGGGGAAATTCTTAACTTCTTATAGCAAGGGGGAAGAAGGAGGTACGGATTCTGGACACCTGCTTAGGAGGATGCGATATTTTAAACTGAACGGATTTTATAAAAAAAAAAACTTGTATAGTTTCAAATGAGCATATATACTTTTAGGTTTTATTTTTCATCTAGTAATTTGTATTGTGAATTTTTTTGTAGTTTGGCAAGGGTGTATACTTTGCTGATATGTCCAGTAAGAGTGCTAACTACTGTTTTGCCACCAGAGCTAAGAATGTTGGCTACCTACTTTTGTGTGAGGTAAGCGTATTCATGCAATTACTGTCTTTAATTTTCAAACACTTGTATCACTTATTTATTTCAATAATAAGGAGCATATTTTTGCTTTAGGCAGTTGATTTCTAGTATTGTATTCTTATAAAATAATGAAATAGTAATAATTGTTCGGGAATAAATTGAGATTTTAGGGTCTTAGGGAGGCTTAATGAGGCCTAATAATTGATATTAACATTGCAGAAATTCTAGTCTCTCTATATGTATGATACCCTCATTTAATACACAAGGAAATCTATAATGAGCAGACAAGAGACCTCACTGAACAGACTAAAGAAATAACCTGTACATGTGCAATATAACATTAGAATAACTCCCACATGTAAACTGTGTGTGATAATATTTTTGTTACATTCACATTGTTAAGGTTTCCCTTGGACAAGCCAATGAGCTTCTAGCAGCTGACTATGGAGCTGATAAGCTCCCTGCAGGAAAGCACAGTGTACATGGCCTTGGCCGTATAGCTCCTGATCCAAAGAAGACATTTACCACGTTAGTATTGCCTCTATGGCGCCTTTGCTTGATTGAAATTGAAAGTTGAATTTGAAAATATTGATTTTGTGAACATGTATTTTTCTGAATCTTTACAATCAACTGTAAGATTTATTAGAGCAAATACTATAAGCATTTCAAATGTTTAGTAAAAAATGATATTGTCACTGATTTTACTCAGTTGAGCATGGTATGTTATTTCTAGTTAAATGTCTAAAACGAAAAACAGTATGTAAAAACAATACACCATTAATTATATGTATGTTATGTGTGATTCCAGGAATGATGGTGTGAATGTTCCACTAGGGAAGCCCAAAGACACTGGTGTAACCAACCCCACAGGGTACACACTAAACTACAATGAATTCATTGTATATAATACTAACCAAGTGCGGATGAAGTATCTAGTTAAAGTCAAATTTAACTTTAAATAAGTCAGCATGTTGGAAATATAGACGAGGGGTAATCAATAAACAGTGGGACGGGCCTGGTGTTCATTTGAAGACCTCATTCAGGAGCCAATACATAATTTCGACTGGAATTATTAAGCAAACAATCATTTTAGTCCATTGTTAACCACACAAAATTGTGTAATAGCAAGACAATCTTTAAACAAGACTGTCTCTAAATGTTCACCAGTAACTACTTTGTCATAATACATGTTATCTCAAAAGGGAAAAACAAAAGCCTGCAATGGGCAGGATATGAATTATCACCAACCATGAAGTTGAATGAACTCAGAACTTAATTCAATTCAAAGTGAGAGGATGAACGAGACCAAATGCCAAATCTTTTACAGATGCCAATTTGTATGTTAACTATTTTTTGTTCTTATAACTTACAAAGTGAATCTTACATATATGTGTTTTCAATAATTGAAATGTAAGTTTTGTTAAGAATGTAATTGTTGTGTTGTGTGATACTATTATGAATATACACGTTTGTGTATTTACTGCACAAGAAAATAAACTAGATATTTTCGTTGACTTAATCTAGATGGTTATAAGTTTTGTTTTAATGGGTTCTAAGTGGACTGTTTAATCGATTGAAAAGTAACATGAGTGAAACCAGAAAGACTTTTTATATCGCCACAAAAAGTGGTAACATATTCTAATTGCCTCTATGATGGCAGTTGGCGATCATCGTCTGTAACAATATTGTGTGCAACGAGGTGGTGGCATTGTGTCATGTTAATGCCATGTGAAATATTGTGTGCAACGAGGTGGTGGCATTTTGTCATGTTAATGCCATGTGAAATATTGTGTGCAACGAGGTGGTGGCATTTTGTCATGTTAATGCCATGTGAAATATTGTGTGCAACGAGGTGGTGGCATTTTGTCATGTTAATTCCATTTGAAATATTGTGTGCAACAAGGTGGTGACTTTTTGTCATGTTAATGCCATGTTGAAAACAAAGTTTGTCTTTCTATAAAAATTTAAATTATGCGTTGCTAGGCATGAGGCAATGGAGGTTATTGCCTCACCAAAATTTCAACTATGCGGAAATAAGGATTAATATATGACTGGCCTTTAATCTGCAATTTTCCTCCTTATTAATTTTGCCTACCTTTATTTGAAATGCTGGTTTCATCCTGCAATCGTATATAAAAGGACCCCAAGTTTCATATCTAAAAACATACTAGAGTCTATAAAACGTTTTATTGATTATAAGATTACGTAATTATCGAAAATATACATGTATTTCTCATTTTCGAGTATATTCCACAGATAAACATGCATGATTTTTTGCAAATTAGAGTGTTCTATCCAAAAATGGTGCTGTTGTATACCGTGAAGTCCCCAAACATGTTCTTGATAAAACTACTGCACTCTCCTCATCACAGGGTGTATACCAAATTAAGCATGACAGTTGAACGCGTGGGGTAAGGTACAACATGAAGGTGATGGAATTTGAGCAAACTGATGTGAACTTGACAGAAAATTCATAGTTAAACCAACAAAAACTGAGAATGTAGTATACGTTATAACACGGGGTAACGGTAAGGTTCAACACAAGTCATTTGATTTTGCGTTTTACCGTATCTAGGGTAAATTGACATGCGGGTTATACTGTTTTGTATTCGCAGTTAGTGTAGATTGAACTATGAAATTCACTGTAAAGTCCGCTGTCCTCTGTTACAAACATTTAGTGAGCATATCTAGAAACTACACCAAATCTTTCTGATACAATGAAAACATCAGTTTGCTCAAATTCCATCACCCTCGTGTTGTACCTTACCCCGCGCGTTCAACTGTCACACTTAATTTGGTACAGCCCCTGTGCTCATATCACGAAATAAACAGAGTAGGGAGAGTACACCCGGCCAGTCTTATCTTAGAGGATATGACTTAGTGTTGATCTCTCATGCCTTATCATGTCTCGTTACATTGGGGAGATGATGACAAAATGTTAAGTGATAGCGAACTGTATGAGTTAGATGGACATGAAGGTCGTTGCTATTTTTGTGTGTTTGGTCCAATGTTTGCTTGGCCAGAGGCTTGGTAAGACTTAAATAATACTTAAATATATTTATTAGTCTAAAAAATAACAATTACCTGCTGCAATATGGTCTTCATTGCACAAACAATGTTCTCAATCCCAAAATGACGAAAACATGAGTAAGAACTGAAGCAATGACTAAAGCGAATGTTTGTTTCATTATTTTGCTGTTTATCCACTTTATCCACACCTTGATTTAGCATTTGTGTATCAGGTGAATATAATGTTGATTCAAATGCCATTTCCGTGTCTGGAATTTCTGCGGGGGGTGCTATGGCTCAACAGATGCACGTGGCATTCTCCTCGAGTATCATGGGAATGGCCTCCTTCGCTGGAAGTAAGTGTTTACGGAACGTATTTTTCTCAAAAAATCGTGTTCCGGAATATAATTTAAATTACTCGTTCATCTGCACTTGGTTTATTTTAGACATGTATTATTGATATCTGAATGGCATATTGTGTCATTTGAAAACTATCATATCATATACATCTATCTGACTATATTCACTCTTGTTTTTCAAGTACCATATTTTTGTGCGGAAGGGCAAATTATGAACACCTTACTGTGTATGAATACACCGGAGTACATCAAAGTTGCCGACCTTATCTCAGAGACAAAAAGAGCCGAGGGTGCTGGGCAGATAAACCAGGTTTCAAACATGAAGAATGACCGGGTTTTCCTGTTTCATGGATCTAAAGATGGAACTGTCGCCCCTGGTACGTGGCGATGTTAACATTCATTAAGTCAGTCAAATCCATAAGTAATATTAGTAATCAAACAACTTTTTTGCTCATTCAGTGAGTCTTTGGTCATAACTGAAGAAAAATCAAACGCGAAGGAGATGCCCTATGGTAACTACTATACTGTTAAGGGAATTACCATCATCGATTAGACCAGTTCTATATAACCATTTTGTGAATATTTGAAATAAAAGTTTGTATGGGTGTAGCCAGAGAGCGGAGTGCGATCGAACTCCCACCCCACAAAAAAATTTTAAAAATCACTTTTTGTAAAACTTGTTAAAAAAACATTTAAACAAATGATCATGTGGAATGCTAAGAATGCACCATATATAATGTAAAACAAAAAAAATGGGGCCCATGGATTGGGGCTCGCTTCGGCGGTCGCAGTGATGCAAACCAAAAAATCGCTGCTTTTATAACCATATGTTTCACTTCAAAGTAGATATAATATTAATCAATCATTCTAGCTGCTTCTAAAAAGTCCAAGGAATACTACACTAAGTATGGCGCTAACATCCTTACAGAATTCACACTCCCAGCAGGCCACGGCATGGTAATTTAAACATTTATAATTACAACATATTTCTACTTGTCAAAATTCATGATTGTTTAAATCAATAAATACAAATTAAGATATTATATTTTCGTGGCCCAGATAAATACACGGGGTTAAAGATATATGTTGAATTTGATTTATGATTAAAGGGTAATTATACCATCTACAATTATATGCCATGTCACACAGAGATCATCCAAAGTTACATTGATCTGCCAAGTATCACGGTTCAACTCACAAATGGGGAAAAAATTACAGGCATTTCAAATTTTAGTGTTGTAATCCTCATAAATCCTTTTTAAGGCAATCTAGAAGAGTTTCTTTGGAGTATCTACCCTCAACTTCCTCTTTTTAGAACTCAATATCCATCCTTTTGTCGACAATAGCACCCATATTTTCGACTAAGACTGCAAAGTGTCGACAAAATATATGAAACTCGGGTAGAGTTATGGTTGCTATAGTAACATGACACTGCAATACCCGGGGCAACATTCCACGCAAAAAGTTACAGAGACATTAAGCATTTTGTACATGCCATATCACAGTTAAAATGCAACAACTGGTGGGAATTACATTTGTTTTACATCATTTGATATTCCTATGTATCCTCTACTTTGAAAAATAGCGGTCCTCTTTGGTCAGTACAAGAGTAGTACTCTGTATCCGTGACTCAAACACATGAGTGAACCCATTTGATGACATGTCACGCAGGGTCGATTGGACAATTTGGAGAAGGTCATTCTCATCTCTAAGGTCTTACAGCACTGATTAGCATTCCATTCTCAATATAAGTAAAATTAGATATTGCATGATCAGAAGAGAATGGTGCATGGTTTTAGACCTCAAGACCTAGCTCCTCTTTAGCTGCATGGTCTTTAATGGTGACCTGCGGGCAGGCGCGCTATCAAGGTGGATGACTGGCTTCAAAATGGGTCTTTTAAAAAACTCAACCGTGAATTGTTCAGACTGTTAAACATAGTGATATTCCAGGAAATTGAATAAATGTTATTATCATTATGAAATTATACTAGAATCTGAGTTGTATGGCAACATCTTTACAACAAAGCAACTAATAAAAGAAGAAATGTTGTATTATAATAGGTGAATTAGATACTTTCTTCAGTAATACAGAAATGTTAGATATCACATTTTAAGGAAAAAAGTTGCCCCGGGTATTGGAATGTCATGTTACTATAGTAACCATAACTCTAACCGCATTTCATCATTTTTTCCGAAACTTTACAATTTTAGTTGCAATACTTCAAAGTACAATTTGTGAACATTTGAAGAGACTCACTGCAAAATTGACAAAATGCCAGCACCAGTCCTGTTACTTTTGGAACACCCTGTATTTTTGGCCAAACACTAAGTTTTGAAATGCCTGTAACTTTTTACCATTTGTGAGTTGAACCATGATACTTGGCAAATCAATGTAAGTTTTGATTTTAAAATGATATATGACACATACTATGGAGACATTGGTTTATGTCCGTCTAGGGGGGCCCCATACTTTGGGACAACCGTTATATCTGTAATGTAGTTTAGTATTTTAGCCAACTTCAAACTATGGGATCCCTTGTGGTGATTCTGGTGACGCCTATATCAACAATTGTAAATATGATGGGGCCGGTGTGGCACTCCAACACATCTATGGCAACTTGAATCCAAAGGGAAATGGAGCATCTGGGACGGTATGTTTCTACCATGCATTAGTTTTTATCTCTGGATATAATATGAAATGTGTAGCCTGCATTCAGCGATTTCATGTGCCAGTAGGTTGCGTTAGAATCTGTCAAGTTGTCAGTCTGTCAAGAATGGCACTGCTGGGCACAATCACAACGTACATGTGGTTAATTTATACTTTCACAAACGTATAAAGGGAAGAAAAGCTACGAAAACTTTATATATCCGATTTACCCAGAATAAAAACTTTTCCCAATCGTGCAGTCAAATTCAAATGGAAATGCAGGAGTTTCACGCAAAGGAATATAGCCAAAGTCATTTTAAGAGTTTAGAATCAAAAACATTCTTACGTTGTTGATACTATATGACGGCTAAAACATCATCAAACACTACTGGAATGATAATCTGTTCTTGTTTTTAGTTTCAAGAGTTTGACCAGGGAGAATTTGTTAATAGTGTTGGCAGAAGTTTTGCAAAGCGAGGATTTATGTATGTACCTTCTTCATGTGCCTCAAAAGTGACTCGTAAGTAACTAACCATTCATGAAGGACTCGTGTATTACCTCTCAAAAATATGACATTAAATCGCACAACTCACGAAGGGTGTGTCAACTATCAATTAGTGTGTTGTTCCAACGCCATGACCTGTTGTTGATGGATGACATAAATTCATCGAGTTGGACTGATGTTCCATTTTCTTGACCTACCACTGTATTTTGAACATTTTTAGTATTTTCCCTTTGACACGTGTGTGATGCATTTTCAGCGTGTAGACTACATTTTGCGTTTCACGGGTGTCTCCAAAGTAGGTGAGAAAGATCTTGTTGTACCAAGCTTCTGAAGCAAAGAATAAATGAAAATTGAATTCAAACTTTAAACCAAATGATGGGATTTGGAATGGCCAGAAAATGCAACCTTTTCATTAAAAACAATAATATCTTAACAGGTTTATGAACGATATCATCACACCTAAGAGGGTTTTAAGGAATCAAGTCTCTTAGTTTCAGAAAAATAACCTTTAAATGTTCATTCAAACATGATTCTTTGTTGGGGTATTGGTCAATCTGAAATGAGTACAATTTCGCAATTCATTTTTGGCATAATATCGAAATGGTCTTTTGTTTCTAGATCAGACGTGCAGGCTAGATACGCCCGTAATGCTGGCTACAATGAATGGGCGGAGACCAACAACATAATAGTTGTTTACCCCCAGGCTCAGCCAAATATGCTGGTAGGGAATCCTAACGGATGCTGGGATTGGTGGGGCTATGATGATCCCAGCGTATTCGACCCATCAGTATATCGTAAGATAATTTCAACATCATCTTGTTTCATATTCTCTCATATCAGTTCTTGTTGAATGCACAGATATTGGTTTGGCGTAGGGAAAATGTTTAAAACCGTTTTTGATCATCATTCTCAGGAGTTTGAATTTGACCCTTTGTTTCAGATTTGACCTCTTGTTGACCTTAAATGACCTTGTGACTTTATAGTGTTATGAAAAAAGGTTGCAGGCATTAGAGTTAATATCATTTCTATATTCTAGATCTTACCAGTGGTCCTCAGATGGTTGCTGTCAAGGCGATGATTGATAGGATTGCTAGTGGTATGTAATCAATGTTGATTTCGATATTTTGTTTTGTTTTTCGATCGAATTAAACCACTTTATTGTTGACGTTCTGTTTTGATGTTCGAACTATATCAGGCTTATATGACATGGAAACTCTAGAGTATGATCATTTGTTCATATACCATGCGTAGGCACCACAGTTCAACGATATCTCCCACCGCTAAAGGGAAGGTAACTTGGATTTTGGTTTTATAGATGATGAAATAACTGATATGCGGTGATGCGGTAACGTTATGAGAGTTCATGATGGAAAGCTAATTGATGTCCAGTTTCCGCGTATTGAAAACTAACACAACCGTTACGACATCATACATTACCAGTTACCTTCTCTTAAGCAGTGGAAGATATTGTTGAAACTGTGGCGTCCACGTACGATATATGAACTAATCCTCATACTCCAAAGTTCCCATGTCATACAAGGCGCTAGTGAGCCTTGTATAAGCCTGATTTGGTTCAAATATCAAAGCATAACGTCAACTATAAAGTAGTTTATTTCAATGAACACTAAAATACCGAAATCGACAATAACCGCCGGCCATCATAGATGCGAAGGTTACGGCCGCTACCTTCCCTTGGTATTGACCAGTGTGTACGTGCTCATTTGGAAACCACTTTGTAGGTTTTATGCAATAAAAAGAGCAATAATTTATATGCTTATATTATCTTCTAGGATTCTAAAATATCTAAATTCTATTATTGTATGCTAGCTTTAAACCTCAATCATTCTTACGCCATCGTTTGTAAACAACAATTATGAATCACGTCCAATTGATCACGAATAACTTATTCAGCAAATGCTATATTCCATGGCTACTGTACCTGCGTGTATTTTAGGCTCTTCAGGTCTGACCACAATGCCAGGACAAACTCTACCACCAACAAAGCCCCCTATAGTTACTTCAAAAAGGTATTAATACCTCGTTCCGATGATTCGCGCGCATACATATAATGATGAAAAAGTCATCGACAGTCAATAACATTACATTTATCATTCGCATTCAATTAAAAGTAACCTTAATCTCATAATAATGTTTTAAAACCATTTATTCATTTTATGCGTCTATTATTTATCATATTATAGAAAAAATCTAAATAAAATCGGAAAAGTGTAAATTAGCCACATACTTTGTACATCTGTTTTATGTGTTATGGAAAGTATTATACAGTCCAATTTTAGCCTTTGTATATCTTACAACAGGTGTAAATGCACATTCCATATGGAGCCCCGTACAAACAGCAGTGACAGTTTGGAACATCTCTACACATTTCCGGATATTCTCTACAACAACACAGTTGGAGGATGCGACCAATGTACTGAAGTACTTCGCGAGTGCCCTCATGATTGCCTTAGTAACGCCAGGGAATTCTGGGGCAATGAGGGGCTAAGGCGGGTTATAGTGATCGATGGCAACAGGCGTGTTGCACTTGGGCAGGTTATATGTCAGTCATTGTTCAGATTGATCGGTCCCCCTGGTAGGACCATAGGGGTGCATTTTAACCCAAATGAGTGTGGAAGGCTGACACCTGTAACCGTGTTCGTGGACCAGAAACTGTGTTGCGACTTACTTAGTGACCCAATCATCGGGGAAATTGCAGTTTGGAATCCTGATTGTTCCGATGAATCTAAATGAATGCACATTTTTCAGAAATAGATTACTGTTAGTGAATGTTTAACGTGTTGTTCTTTATTTAATATTGAGAATTAATCTTATTCAAAGATGCCTATAAGTACATACATGAACGGGTAAAGGAAGTGCAATTTGTAAAATGAATATACAATTATCGTGAACGATTCAAACTTTCTGTTACACAAATCCGAATATATATTTCTGTACAATTTTGGTGGGGCAGTTGCTTCTTCTGCCTAATTGAGAAAGAGTCGAAGGCAAATATACAAAGCCGGCTTTCAAAGCCGGCTTTTAAAGCCGGCTTCTACAGTACATCAGAAGCCGGCTTCTGGCGTCACCAAGAAGCCGGCTTTTAAAAACCGGCTTCGAATGACTTACAGAAGCCGGCTTCTGCAGTTACCAAGAAGCCAGTTTTAAAAGCCAGATTCTCTCTCTCAATCATTTTGTTGTGCATTATGCATCTTATTCTCGTATAATTAGCATGGAAATGAGAAAAAAATGAAAATAAGTAAAATTGTAACATATTGCAAGATTTTTTGCAAAAAGTAATTTCAAACCAAAACTATGGGGGAAATTCAATTCTAAGTAAAACTATCGATGAATTAAATCATGTTCGTTAAATAAGAGTAGATTATGCATTGCATTTCTGTTTGATAAAAACGCATCGCTCATTTTACAAAACTGGCTCCAACTTGGAGCCAGTTTGCAAATCAGCTCGCTCCATCTTACACAAGCTATGTTGGGGCAATCTAGCTACTGGGAATCACGGGATACTGTTTCATGATAATTGTTATGTGCATTATGCATCTTATTCTCGTATAATTTGCATGAAAATGAGAAAAAACTGAAAAATACGCATATTTCAAGATTTTTTGGAAAAAGTCATTTCAAGCCAAAACTATGACAGTAAATTGAAATCTAAGCACAGATATCGATGAATAAGATCACATTCATTAAATCAGAATAGATTATGCATTGCATTTCCGTTTAATAAAAACGCACCGCTCACTTTTCAAAACTGGCTCCAACTTGGAGCCAGTTTGCAAATCAGCTCGCCCCATATGACAAATGCTATATAGGTACAATCTGGTAACTGGGAATCACGAAATACTATCTCACGATTATTTTTATGTGCATTATGCATGTTATTCTCGTATAATTTGCATCAAAATGAGAAAAAACTGAAAAATACGTAAAATTGTAATATATTTAAAGATTTTTTGCAAAAAGTCATTTCAAGCCAAAACTATGAGAGAAAAATCAATTCAATGTAAAAATATCGATGAATTAGACCATGTTCACCAAATCAGAACAGATTATGCATTGCATTTCCGTTTAATAAAAAACGCACCGCTCATTTTTCAAAACTGGCTCCCACTTGGAGCCAGTTTACAAATCAGCTCGCTCCATCTTACACAAGCTATGTAGGAATAATCTAGCAACTGGGAATCACGGGATACTGTCTCACAATCATTTCTATGTGCATTATGCATCTTATTCTCGTATAATTTGTATGAAAATGAGAAAAAACTGAAAAATACGGAAATTTGTAACTTATTTCAAGATTTTTTGGAAAAAGTCATTTCAAGCCAAAACTATGAGAGAAAATTCATTTCTAAGTAAAAATATCGATGAATTAGATCACGTTCACTAAATCAAAACAGATTATGCATTGCATTTCCGTTTAATAAAAACGCACCGCTCATTTTTCAAAACTGGCTCCAACTTGGAGCCAGTTTACAAATCAGCTCGCTCCATCTTACTCAAGCTATGAAGGGACAATCTAGCAACTGGGAATCACGGGATACTGTCTCACGATCATTTCTATGTGCATTATGCATCTTATTCTCGTATAATTTGCATGAAAATGAGAAAAAACTGAAAAATACGTAAAATTGTAACTATTTTCAAGATTTTTTGCAAAAAGTCATTTCAAGCCAAAAGTATGAGAGAAAATTTATTTCTAAGTAAAAATATCGATGAATTAGATCACGTTCACTAAATCAGAACAGATTATGCATTGCATTTCCGTTTAATAAAAACGCACCGCTCATTTTTCAAAACTGGCTCTAACTTGGAGCCAGTTTACAAATCAGCTCGCTCCATCTTACACAAGCTATGTAGGGGCAATCTAGCAACTGGAAATCACGGGATACTGTCTCACGATTATTTTTATGTGAATTATGCATCTTATTCTCGTATAATTGGCCTGAAAATGAGAAAAAACTGAAAAATACGTTAAATTGTAATTGTAACTCACGTTCACTAAATCAGAACAGATTATGCATTGCATTTCCGTTTAATGAAAACGCACCGCTCATTTTTCAAAACTGGCTCCAACTTGTATGTAACATGTACGTTTTACTTTTTCTTTAACGATAGTTAAGAATAAAATGTAAAACACGATACGAATGCTCAAAAAATGTGTGAAGTTTTGACGGGAAATTAAACATAAAGGTGATACTATTCAGACACAAATACAAAACGTATTGTTTTTCAACTCATCTAGTCAACAAAAATGTCCATTCGTGAATAAAGAGTCTTGAGAAAATCTTGAAATAAGTTACAATTTTGCGTATTTTTCAGGTTTTTCTCATTTTTAGGTCAATTATACGAGAATAAGATGCATAATGCACATAGAAATGATCGTGAGACAGTATCCCGTGATTCCCAGTTGCTAGATCGTCCCTACATAGCTTGTGTAAGATGGAGCGAGCTGATTTGTAAACTGGCTCCAAGTTGGAGCCAGTTTTGAAAAATGAGCGGTGCGTTTTTATTAAACGGAAATGCAATGCATAATCTGTTCTGATTTAGTGAACGTGATCTAATTCATCGATATTTTTACTTAGAAATGAATTTTCTCTCATAGTTTTGGCTTGAAATGACTTTAAAACTTGAAATAAGTTACAATTTTCCGTATTTTTCAGTTTTTTCTCATTTTCCTTCAAAGTATACGAGAATAAGATGCATAATGCACATAGAAATGATCGTGAGACAGTATCCCGTGATTCCCAGTTGCTAGATTGTCCCTACATAGCTTGTGTAAGATGGAGCGAGCTGATTTGTAAACTGGCTCCAAGTTTGAGCCACTTTTGAAAAATGAGCAGTGCGTTTTTATTAAACGGAAATGCAATGCATAATCTATTCTGATTTAGTGAACGTGATCTAATTCATCGATATTTTTACTTAGAAATGAATTTTCTCTCATAGTTTTGGCTTGAAATGACTTTTTGCAAAAAATCTTGAAATAAGTTACAATTTAACGTATTTTTCAGTTTTTTCTCATTTTCAGGCCAATTATACGAGAATAAGATGCATAATTCACATAAAAATAATCGTGACACAGTATCCCGTGATTCCCAGTTGCTAGATTACCCCTACATAGCTTGTGTAAGATGGAGCGAGCTGATTTGTAAACTGGCTCCAAGTTGGAGCCAGTTTTGAAAAATGAGCGGTGCGTTTTTATTTAACGGAAATGCAATGCATAATCTGTTCTGATTTAGTGAACGTGATCTAATTCATCGATATTTTTACTTAGAAATAAATTTTCTCTCATAGCTTTGGCTTGAAATGACTTTTTGCAAAAAATCTTGAAATAAGTTACAATTTTACGTATTTTTCAGTTTTTTTCTCATTTTTATGCAAATTATACGAGAATCAGATGCATAATGCACATAGAAATGATCGTGAGACAGTATCCCGTGATTCCCAGTTGGTAGATTGTTCCTACATAGCTTGTGTAAGATGGAGCGAGCTAATTTGTAAACTGGCTCCAAGTTGGAGCCAGTTTTGAAAAATGAGCGGTGCGTTTTTATTAAACGGAAATGCAATGCATAATCAGTTCTGATTTAGTCAACATGATCTAATTCATCGATATTTTTACTTAGACTTCAATTTTCTCTTATAGTTTTGACTTGAAATGACTTTTTGCAAAAAATCTTGAATTATGTTATAATTTAACATATTTTTCAGTTTTTCCTTATTTTCATGCAGATTATACGAGAATAAGATACATAATCCACATCAAAATGATCGGGAGACAGTATCTCGTGATTCCCAGTGGCTAGATTGTCCGTTATTAGCAATTGTGTTTAATGGTGCGAGCTGATTTGAAAACTGGCTCCAAATTGGAGCCAGTTTTGAAAAATGAGCGGTGCGTTTTTATTAAACAGTAATACAATGCATAATATTTTGGGAATTGATTAACGTGATCAAATTCATCGATATCCATGCTTAGAATTCAATTTACCCGTATAGTTTTGCAAAAATATGACAATATAAACTATATTCAAAAGCCATCTTCTGCAGTACGTCAGTAAGTAAGAAGCCAGTTTTAAAAGCCGGCTTCTTGGTGACTCCAGAAGCCGGCTTCTGTTGTCCTTCAGAAGCCTGTTTTTAAAAGCCGGCTTCTTGTTGACTGTAGAAGCCGGCTTCTGTAGTACGTAAGAAGCCAGTTTGTAAAAGCCGGCTTCTTGGTGATTCCAGAAGCCGGCTTCTGTTGTCCTTCAGAAGCCGGCTTTTAAAAGCCGGCTTCTTGGTGACTCCAGAAACCGGCTTCTGTAGTACGTAAGAAGCCAGTTTGTAAAAGCGGTTTTTGCCTTCGAGTACTTCTGGCCTAATTAGCCGCATCACGTCACATGAGGAGCAAACACGAGGTGGGTAGACATGAAGAAGCATTTTTAATCGCACTTTTCAAACTGCATATTCAGTGTTCCCTACCTAGTTTACGTTACTTTGCCAGGATGTTGAATCTGAAATCTAAATTTAAATCTGATTACAGGTTAATAACTATTTTGAAATTATTATGGTGATATCTAGAATTCACGTTAACTGAAGAAAATGATACTAATATATTGTAGTAGAATCTCCGAGTCAGTAACTAGAGGTTTTTTGATAGATCTGTTTATGTCAGTAAGGGTATGTATCAAGGATCTTGGGATATCGTAGTATCCCGGACAGAATTGTTCAATGGTCACTTTTTCTCTAATAACTTTTTTAATTTTCAGTATTATCAAAATCTGATTACATATTTGAAAACAAGAGTAAAATTCGGATATATTTAAGGAACATCTCTTAATTCATTAATATTATAGACGTTCATAGTATGAGTGACGCAAATACATAATTCATCATTTTGTCTCATATTTGTTCAAAAATGGCGTCATGTTTTGTGGTTTGAATGTTCTGTTGAAAGTTAATATTTAAGAAATGTCATAGACCTACGAAATCATGTAGGCTGCTGCCTTGGTATGAGGTAATGACTGCATTTATAACCTTTTGTTTTAAATTGACTTGTATGAATACCGATACTTAAAACGGTTTGTACATTGTATGTACAGTATATTGGTAAGGTCCATTGTTACTCGTAGTGGATTAGTAACCCTAGTTTGTTAACCTGTGCAACTACAAGGCCATACTGCCACAGTTTGTAATATCTTTCCCAGTCACACGCCCTTCAACCCATCCAGCATGCATGTGAATTGTTCTTAGCTTTTCAATGGCCTCTGAGATGGCTGTTTGGAGCTCTTGAAAAGATTGAGGACCTACTCTCATCACAACCCGCACATTGGGGCGCCACCTTTTTACATCCTCTTGAACACAACCCCGAACATTTCAATAGAGTTGAGCTCATATACCCTTGGAGGGAGTTCACTTCTTGTTTTTGATGAATAGTCAGTTGCTGCATTACATCAGGATTGTAACGGTGGCAGCATGGCCCTATAGTCCTATGACAATCTTTAAATATCAACTTTCAACTGAACATTTAAATTCCCAAAATATGCCGCCATTTTGAATTTTACTCTAGTTTTCAAATATGTGATCAGACTATGATAATACTGAAAATTAAAAGAGTTATTAAAGAAAAAGTGACCATTGAACAATTCTGTCCGGGCTACTATCAAAATATACTCAAAATTAAGATATAACATGGAGCCAACTTTTGACAGTAAACAACTCCCTTTAGATATAATCCCGGTGGTTCATTCTAAATAATATGGGTAGGTATGTGCAACGCGGCCAATTTTGGCTTTGAGCATAAACAATGGAAATGACGAGGCATATCTATAGGTACTAAAAAGTCGATTGGAGTGAAACACCCAGGGATATATGGCATATCTGCGAGGCATATCTATAGGTACTAAAAAGTAGATTGGAATGAAACCCCCAGGGATATATGGCATATCTGCGAGGAATATCTATAGGTACTAAAAAGTAGATTGGAGTGAAACCCCCAGGGATATATGCAACAAATAACACATACCAACACATGGTAAGACATGTGAGATACCAACATCTAGTCAGACTGAGAACCCATCCTCTTAGATAAGGCTGACCGTGTCTGTACATTGAACGATTAGTAACATCTAGAGTTAGACAAAGCATACGAAATATTGTGTTTTGTAATTGAAATCAATGACTTCTGTGTTTTAAAATCGGTGACTCCACATTTTTGTTTGACTATGAAGCATTTCGTGGTCTTTATTGATTGAGAATATATGCACTTTCGTAAATTGTTTTAGGCCTCTGGTCTGGTAAACAACCACTTTAAGATGGATTTCATGTAGTTTGCTTCATGAAGTGTTCACTGACCCCTCTGGTTAAATATTATTAATTCAAATGTATATTCCATCTCAGGGAACACTCGTCTACAGCAAGATTGAGCTAAGTTTTAGTCAAAATGATGGACAAATTCGAGAAACGGTCGATTTCCATCAGCCAAACTAAATAAAATGGATTCCAAATACATGTAGTTCGCCATGCCTTCTAATGAAGTTCGGATTGAAATCTGCGAAGAAATGTATTAAGGTATGAAGAAAAGATGCATAAATTGGGTCCCTTGAAAAAACAATTGAGAATGGGTCAGTAACTTCCCCGGTTATCATATTATACATTCACAAAGTGTCTTAAAAACGTGTTGCTGAACCTCTGTATCATCACATCTAAACATTAGATAGATAACATTATCTTGCTATCGTAAGAGATAATAGACTTGGATCATATCGACATGGTTTTAATTGAACACATCCCGTCAGTCTTCTTTTGTGGCAATATTATGGGAACGTGGTTAACCTTAGCCTGCGTCAGCCTTCTTGCTGTCATTGGAAGCTGTTCCGTGGCCAGTCAATCTTTAGAATGGGACGGTATGAGCAATTATGATTTTTAGCCTAAAATACCTTATTTTACAGATTATGATAGTATTTTTGTGACCTCATAAAGTTTGTTTATGATGCTCACTAATCACCCATCTGGTTAAATATTCTTAATTCAAATATATTCCATCTCAGAGTTAAGAGGATGATATTCGGTATTCTCGGTTTCTTTAAACTAAATAGCATAAAGGATAGGTATCGATATGATGAACTGAATTCAACAATGTTTTTCTCTTAAATCAATTATTGAAAACATTCTCGAAAAAATGTAATGTTGACTGATTGGCAACAATTTAGTGCAAAAATTTTTTATATATATTTTATATAACTGTTTTTGTTAACATTTTTTGTTCTTAGTGCAATTGTTTTTTGTTCCTTTCTACCAATTCTTGAGAATGAAATAAAATGTCTTTCTGAACCTTGTTGGAACGAAATAGCATATACAACATTTCCTAAGACCTCTCAATATTATAGTTATACAAATTTTGTTTGATTTAACAACAAGTATGCCCCCCAAAATAGATAAAAATTAAGTTAGACCTTTTAATCGTTAACAAGATATTTTTTTAAAATCAACCAAACTTTCTTTTGTACAATTACAATATTGAGAGACCTAAACACGTTGTGTTTATGTCGTTTTGTTCCAATGAGGTTCGGATAGATGTTTCATTTCATCCTGAACATATGATATCAAGAACGAAAGAAAATGTCTGATGTGTTGTCTTAAACAATATAGAGAAAATAATAAATGTAAATTTCAAATTATAATGTCACCATCCAAAAGATGACCATTAAATTGACGATGTGTAAACAATTTTCAGAATGTTTTGATGACTGGTTTAAGAGAAACGCGTGTCCAAAAAGTTCACCATATCGGTACCACTCCTTTACACTGTTATAAAAATATACTATTTCTTTGAAGTGTTGTTAAATAATCGAATAAGTAAAAAAATATAATTTTCGACACTCATGATGACTAAGGGTAAGAAGAGATTTCACCCATTATTAGATATCACTTAGTTGCTCCTAAAATTGCGACCAAAACTTGGTCGAATTCTGATATTCTTATTTTCACTCTTTATCTTATTTTCTTCGACATTACTGTTGGTTATCATCACGTTTTCCGATCAAGTTTTTGATGATATAACCACGGATGAATCGTTTTACCCGTAGTCATCATCATGAAAGTGTCTTCTTTACAGGGAAGATTGCGAAATATTCACTGACTCAGTTTATGTTTCTCTAGATGCGTGTGGTATTAGCAAATATGCAGATGCTGGATCAGAGAGTAGAACAAAAAGGATGGTTGGAGGAACACCTTCAAGAAAAGGGGAATTCCCCTGGGTGGTAGGTTGAAGTAATCAAATATTACAAATTGTGAATGGATGTTGACAACAGTCACCATAGCATTTAAAAAATTTTGATTGTAATTAAGCTCGTAAATGAATCTAACGTTTCTGCATCTTTTGTCTATCACGCGTCTATCTGATTTTCGTATACGCTTATCATCATTTTCTATTCCATGAACAATGGAGTCGGATACATTTTGAAATGTTCACTTACCTATGAAATATCTTATCACGTTTAGGTAAGTATAGGATGGGGCAACGGCGACCATGCATGTAATGGCTTTATCATCGACAAAAACTGGATACTTTCAGCCCAACATTGTTTCGGTGTGTAAGTATGCGTCCTTCATTATAAATTGATTTTCTATTATCTGTTCTTGTAATTTGTTAATCTCACAGTTGTTCCACTAATAAATGTCCATACTACTCCTGAATCTTTTATACTGAATGGAGAAATAGATTAACAATATCGAGCATGCGCATATCGAGCAAGGATGTAAAACTGAAAACTCCCATCAGTTCTGGGATAATTGTTCAACAAATACAGGGAGATGCCCAATGTGCGAAACATCGTTCAAGTGCAATATGTTTGATTACTCTCACTGTAGTGGTACCGATCCTAGCCATTTGACAATTTGGGTTGGAAATTCCCGTACAAAACCTCACGATGGGACTCCTTACGTCCATTCAAGAATTATTTTTCATCCTATGTACGACTACAACAATGGCCAATACAAGTATGATATCGTCATGATGAAGCTTTCAGTACCACTCAAGTGGACTGATGATGTTAGGCCTATTTGTGCACCAGAACTTAAGAAATCATATGTCAATTACGATGCTTGGCTGGCCGGTTGGGGAAATACACACCAAGGTAAACATTGAACGTTTAAAATAGTACATACTCGTACGTTTATCCAAACTTCCCCCAATGTTGTCAAAACAACTATCGATAGGCCTACGTCTGAGTCAGGCCCGTAAGACACTTTTCTCCAAGGGGGGTGCGGTTTTTAGCTTACTAAAGAGAATATAAAATTGTCTTTTTTTGCCGCGTAAATCAAATCGCGTAAGACAGAGGGGGGTGGGAGGGGGGTCAGTTACTCCCTATATTGGTTTGGAATTAACAAATGCATGCAACTTCCAACCGTTCCAATTGTTTTGTGGGGGGTGTGAGGAGTGGTCCACTCCCCCTAGAAAATTTTACAGTTTTGAGATCCTATTTGGTGCTTTCTGGGCACTTTCAAAGTGTAAGTTTCTAAGTAGTACGCCACCACCACAGGAATAAGAGTTGAGTGAATAAAAAACCGAGCATTCAGGGTGGTCTTGGGGTTCTCCCCCAGGAAAATTTTGAAATTTGGTTGTATTTGGAGCGAATTTGCAACCATCTGGTACGCCTGTGCATTATGAGTCAATAAGAAAAATGTGAATTTTTTTCAAATTCTTTTGGGGGTGTCAAAGAGGATGAGAGGGTGAAATGGGGTGGGGTGCCAGTAGGGGAGCAAGGGGTTGTCCCCCAGAAACATTGACCATATCAAGGTGCTATTTGATGATGTCTGGGCACTTAAAAAATGTCTGAGACAATACATGAAATTCAGAATATTTTCTTTTGTTTTGTGGGGGATGTGAGGGGTGGCTAACTCTTCTAGAAAATTTTACAATTTAAAGATGATATTTGGTGCTTCTGGGCACTTTTAAAGTGTATTAGTCAATAAAAACATTGAAAAACAATCACAATTTTTTTCAAATTTTGGGGGTGTCAAAGGGGGGGGAGGGGTGCCAGAGGGGGAGGTGGGGCTGGGGTGCCAGAGTGGGAGCAAGTGTTTGTCCCCCATATCAAAATTTACAATATCAAGGTGCTATTCGATGAAGTTTGGGCACTTTAAAAGTGTCTGTGCCTAAAAGTGCCTATTTCCCAAGAGAATTTTACAATTTTAAGATGCTACTTGGTGCTTTCTGGGCACTTTCAAAGGGGATGAGTCAATAAAAAAATTTGAAAAATCTCAATTTTTTTTTTGGGGGGGGGGGGTGTTTAGGGAGGGAGCTGCCAGAGGGGGAGGTGGAGTGGGGATGCCAGAGGGCGAGTAAGTGTTTGTCTTCCAGAATCATTAACTTCATCAAGGAGCTATTTGATGATGTCTGGGCAATTTAAAAGTGTCTGAGACAATACATAAAACAAATTCAGAACTTTTCCATTGTTTTGTTTGGGGGGGGTGTGATGGGTGGCCCACTCCCCCTAGAAAATTTTACAATTTTACGACGCTATTTGGTGCTTTCTGGGCACTTTCAAAGTGTATGAGTCAATTAAAGAATTTGAGAAAATCACAATTTTTTTTTTGGGGGGGGGGTCAAGGGGGGGGGGCGCCAGAGGGGGGGGGGTGGTTATGCAAGTGCAAGATGCAAGAGGGGGAGTAAGTCCCCCAGAAACACTAACTATATCAAGGAGCTATTTGATGATATCTGAGTGTCTGAGACAAAACTCTAAAATAAATTTTTTCCATTGTTTTGTGGGGGGTGTGCGGGGTGGCCAATACCCCTAGAAAATTTTACAATTTTGAGATGCTATTTGGTGCTTTCTGGGTACTTTCAAAGTGTATGAGTCAATGAAAAAAAAATTACAAAAAAAATATTTTTCAAAAAAAAAAGATTTTTTTTTCAAATTTATTTTTGGGGGTGACAAAGGGGGGTGCGGTCGCACCCAGCGCACCCCCCCCCCCCCCATCTGACGGCCCTGTGAGTATACATATAGAGAACGAGGGCAAAGAAACTAGAGATTTGATACAAATAATCAGGCCCGAAGCCAGTAAGAGGGAATTCGAGTGGACTCCCCCAACACACTTGTCCTAGAATTTTTTCAACATCATGCAGTTTTCACCATTCCGAGCGATTTTTCAGTGATTTTTCGTCAAAATTGTCAAATGTGAACCCCCGCAATTTTTTTTAAACGTGAGCCCCTTTGTAAACGTTGGCTACGGGCCTGATAATTCATCAATTCATGCAATTATCATTATTGCTATAGGAGGGGCCCCAACTGTGAATCTTCAGCATGCCCAGCTATCAATCATAGACAACAAGTACTGTGATCGTCTCACGGGAAATGACAAGATCTTTGATTTTAACATTTGCCATATTGGAGCAGGTGACGGCAAAGACGCCGGTGATGTAAGTGATTTAATCTATATTTTCATTTGATAGACCATCATTTAAGCCTTAGTCACATCTGCTCTACGGCGGCCGTACAACAGACTAGCTTCACAAAATTGATATAGAAAATCGACATTACATACCTCTCCCTATATCATGTGCAGCATATTTCCCACGAATTTGGGAAGTACGGTTATCGTAAATCAAATGTGACCAGGGCATTAAAGAATGAGACCAAGACCTGGCTCCCAACTCATAACGGCAACCATGGGGTGCCAAAGAGTCCCATTATAATATGGTGCCAAATTTTGGACATTATTGCTATGTCTTGAATTGATGTGATGCGTCTCGAGTAGTATTAAACGTATTTAGTTTCAGTTTTTTACTGATACACCTTGCTCTTACAAGAAATATGTTGGACTTGAGTTTACCGGCTCCACATCTAAACTTTTTGATTTTTCTGTAATAGGGGGATAGCGGTGGTGTGTTGATGGTGAAAGACAAAACTGGTAGGTTCCGAGCGGCTGGAATACAATCGTGGGGCTATTGGCCTGCTGGACAAAGAACCAGTCCTTGTACGAGAATAACATATTTCATGTCATATATCAACTATGTTCGAAAAAATAAATAGCTTTTGTAAAGATGTATGTTGCAATCAAGATAATTCGCCGTCAACGTGAAAATGGATCAGATGTGTCAGGAATATCAAGTTCATGTTCATCCTAGACAAGTGATTTCTGATCCTTATTAGTTAATAGAATTTACTACGCTTTAATCATACACGTTTTCATTTAAAAACGTGTGCGAGTACGGGATATGAAATAATACAATCTTGATGACAAAAATCATAGAGCAATCAGCAACCCTTGTATTTTATGCACTGCATATTACTGTCAATATTTTCAAATTGATAATTAGAATGATTTTAAATTGAAAAACCCTATGGCATTTTTGGTTTCGTTAATTATTGAAACCAATTAATTACATCAAATCAGTTTCATTAAAGTGTACACTGAAACATAAATGCAGTTTTCATTTGAGAAGTGAAAGATGACGACTTCAAGGCGATGTAGTCTATACAATATGATTGTTTTGATATTAATGGGTTACATTGGTGTTCATCTGGTGAAATATCTCATGGAAGAGTATAGTTTACAAACTCCAATGACTAAAACACAGGAAAGCAATGCAGGTAGCAATGTTCCAGATGGTATTGACATTGATTCCGTTAATGATTTTCGAGATGAGGAGTCTCAACGTCCAGTCAATAGCCAAGAAGAAGGATTTGAATATTTGAAACATGCTTTTAAAGGATTTCAACGACAAAGATCAAACGCTTTACAAGAACCCAAGATTATTATCAAATCTCCAATCAAGAGGACTCCATTCAATGCGAAAGTTGGTAATATCCGTACTAATCCCCCTGTGGATACTTCTGGTGCAACACGTGAAAAGTCAGCAATAGACGGTGTACGTAAAGATCCTCACGATAAGTTTAAGAAGTATTATAATGGCCCTATTCAACAGAACTCAGAAGTGGTATATGATCACAAGTTAGGCAAATTCACACAGATCGGAAAGGATATTCAGAAGGACCATATTGAACTGGCTGAAGAAATGTCTAACCGCCAAGATCAATCAAGAAATAGTACAGCTCAACCTAAGCAACAACCTGGTGAAAAAGTTCCGTCGGTTCAACCCAAAATCAAACAAATTGTTGAGCCAGACGAAACAGCTGAGAATGCTGAGGCTGATCATGATACCAAAGCTGCTAGATCAACGAGTGCTAGTGACGACGATAACATGGATGAAACAGATGCGATAAATGTATATAAAAGTAAAGGTTTAAAAGGATTACGGAATCCTCATAAACTGAAGGACAATGTAAAACACGCTTTAATAAAGCATTATTATAAAGAGGGAAAAATAGAAAAGAACGCACAGATATCTTGGAACAGGAGGCTTGGTAAATTTGTTCAGCATGGCAAAGATACTGAGGGCTCTGATTTTACAAAATTATTCCATGATCCAAAGACTGAGCCTAAACAAAATATCACCTGCCATCCTTCAATGAACCTTTTAAATAATAACACGAACTCGAATATACTTTTTGAGCCCGATACATGTTCATCGAACCCCGTCGGGCCATTTCTCCTCATCGTTGTCACCATTCCCCCAATGGCCTATGAAAGATTGGCGCTTATCCGAAAAACATACGGAACCGTATCAAAGTTGCAAGGACTTGCGATTGAAGTTGTTTTTGTTACCGAGTTTAGTAGTAGTAATCTTATACAAAGCGAGCTCGAATTCCATAGTGATAATTTCAAAGATATTTTGCAAATAAGATCATTAAAAATACATTCACAGAAAATGGCGATGTTCAAATGGTTAGAACAGAGGTGCAAAAATGTTCAATTCATTCTGATAACAAAACATGATATATTTGTGAACGTGTTTTCATTGATCCACCATCTCCAGTATTTCTTTAGCGGTGGATCAGCCCCATCTAACTTTGTATCGTGTAAAACACTCCACGTCTACAAGGATAACACCACTCCGGAGGATATACCACGATCGTATTGCTCACGTCATGGTTACGTCATCACACGTGATATACTGCCGAAATTTTCACAGTATCTCTCCACCAAGTCAAAACTATTTCCTAGTGATATTACACATACCTTTGCAGAGGCGACTGGCTTAAAGGTTGATCAAACATTATCAGAGTCTTTGGTGGAGGAGGGGAGTTGTGCTTCCTTGATGACAGGGGGTGACCTTAGCAAATATACCATGTGTGAGATACGGGACAATACTGAATGGCTTGAAACATGGAACAAAATCGCATCTGTCAATGTACATGCCTAAAGGTTACTAGTATCTGTGCTGAACAAACATATGTGGTAAAAATCGTTTCCAATGTAAACTATGATAATGGAATATGAAATTTTAAATCTGCCACTTTTTACATTTTTCTGAATTGACAAGTCATATTACATTATTAAAGTATTCTACCAATATAAAGTATGATAATATTAACAAACATGCTCATGTAATTATATATTTGTTCATGCTAAAAAAATAAAATACCTTGTTAACTTACTAGATTAAATGTGCTGAATTAGATGTACAATAAGTGTTCCAGATGTATCGAGGTTACATGTATCTATTGAAAATTAATTTTATAATTAAGAAATATAGACCGAAAAGCAGGGGTAATATCGTCGAATACACCCCGCAGGGCTAGGCACAAACGTTTTCTGTACCCCGAACGACCGAAGGGAGTGAGGGGTTCGAAAGCTGTTGTGCCTAGCCCCAAGTGGTGTATTCGACGATATTACCCCTGCTTTTCGGTCTATATTACGATTCGAAAATGAAAACTCACCAAATTGTTTCGAATATTCATCATGGTCCGCCATTACTACGACCCACCGTTATGACGTCACACATTACACGTATTAACAGGGGTATTGATCGCGAATATATCCCAGGTGAAATGTTGACTTTGTTTACAGTTCATAGAAGGCGTGAATACAGTCATGTTCGAATCTATAATAATCCATAAAATAGTCGATTGCTCTTTTAATCGGGTATCAACGGGAATCATTATACTCTTGTCTTGAATACTGTGCTGGCAATTTTAATTTCGATGCACCGTATAACAGGGGCGGATCTGGAAACCAACAAGGGGGGGGGGGGGCAAATTTTAGGTCAGAGAAAAAACTTCCCCCACAAGATTACATTTTGGTAAAAATACCATCCCCCCATGAATAAAATTCAGGACTTTTAAAAATGTTAAAAGCTAAACATTTAAATGGATTTTGGACCACAGAGCACATTCTTTGCAATAATTATATCAGAAATAACTAGACTTTGGAAATTGAACGAAGTTCAATTTCAGACTCCAGATCTAGACTTTTTTAAGCCCAGTCATCTAAAATAAGCCGAGTCATCCAGAATAAGCTGAGTCATCCAGAATAAGATGGATAAAATAGGAAGGTAGAATAGGATAGAATGGGAAGGAACGATAGGATAGAATAAGAAAGAAGGATAGGATAGAACAGAATAGGAAGAAAGGATATGATAGGAGAGGATAGGATAAGATAGGAAGGATAGGAAGGAAAGGATACGAAGGAAGGATAGATAGGAAGGATAGGATAGGATCAGATAGGAAGGATGGATGAATTTTTCAATATTTTCTTCTCTACTCTTGACTTTCTATCAGGATACCATCAAATCGATTTTCCGAAATTTCAAAACACCATAACTTCCAAACCGGAAGTCGGATCTAAATTTGATTTAAAGATTCGGATTCCTGACAAAATTCTACCCCTAATTCATAACTCATACATTAAATTTGGCGAATTTTTATTTTGACCTACTTTTTGGACACGCCATAACTTCCGAACCGGAAGTCGGATCGAAATTTGGTTTGCAGATTCGGATTCCTGAGAAAATTCTATACTTAATTCATAACTCAAACGTTAAATTTGGAGAATTTTTTATTTTGACCTACATTTCGGACACCATATCTCAAAAGTGGGGCAAAATACTTTCTGACGGCAAAAGGCTCACACTATTAGCACACTCTTGGCTACATGTATACAAAATTTCTAGGAATATAATTAATCTGTAGTGTCAGAATCGCAAAAATAAGGAAAAACTTTGAATTTGACCTAGATTTTGACCTAGGCATTTTGGTGTCCAAATTTTGAAGCTAGATTGCTTTTGAGGTCCCATTCTTTTAAAGGCTTTCATTACATTTAGCTGAACTCTGTCTATATTTAGTATTTTTCACTTCAAAAAAAATCTTTTTTCCCATTGACTTAACATGGGCACCAAATTTAGCGATTTTTGAGGTTTCAAAACGCCATAACTTCCGAACCGGAAGTCGGATCAAAATTTGGTTTGCAGATTCGGATTCCTGAGATCATTCTACACTTATTCCATAATTCACATGTTGAATTTGGAGAACTTTTTGTTCTGACCTACTTTCCGGACGCCATATCTCAAAATCGGTAAGAGATATCAAAAAATAAAATCGACAATGTCCTAACCTACTTTTTTATTAGGAACACAATGAAAAAAACCCGGATCAAAAATATTGAAGGACGACCGAGAAAATCGAAAAAAGTGACAAAGTACTGGATTTGACCTAGTTCTTGACCTTTGACCTAGATAAAAATTTGACCCAATTTCCCACCAACTAGATACTAAACCTAAATGAACTGTATTATGGTATTTACTGGATACCTTATAGTTATTGAAAAAACTCAAAAAGAATAATAAGAATAAGAACTAGACTTTGGAAATTGAACGAAGTTCAATTTCAGACTCCAGATCTAGACTTTTTTTGGCCGAGTCATCCAGAATAAGCCGAGTCATCCAAAATAAGCTGAGTCATCCAGAAAAAGATGGATGGATGGATGGATGAAAAAGGAAGGAAGGATAGGCTAGAATAGGAAGGAACGATAGGATAGAATAGGAAAGAATGATAGAATAGAATATGAAGAAGGAATAGAATAGGAAGGATAGGAAGGAGAGGATATGAAGGAAAGGTAGATAAGAAGGATACGATAGGATCACAAAGGAAGGATGGATGCATTTTTCAATATTTTCTTCTCTACTCTTGACTTTCTATCAGGATACCATCAGATCGATTTTTCTCGAAATTTCAAAACGCCATAACTTTCGAATCGGAAGTCGGATCGAAATTTGGTTTGCAGACTCGGATTCCTGAGAAAATTCTACCCTTAATTCATAACTCATATGCTAAATTTGGAGAACTTTTTATTTTGACCTACTTTTCTGACACCATATCTCAAAAGTGGGTAGAAATACTTTCTCACGGCAAAAGGCTAACACTATTAGCACACTTTTTCCTACCTGTATACAAAATTTTGAAGCAAATCATTTAAACATAGTGTCAGAATCGCAAAAATAAGGAAAAACTATGAATTTGACCTAGATTTTGACCTGGGGATTTTGGTGTCCAAATTTTGAAGTTAGGTAGCCTTCGAGGTCCCTTTCTTTCATAGGCTTTCATTATTTTAAGCTGTACTTAGTCTATATCTCGAATTTTACACTTCAAAAAAATCTTTTTTCCCATTGACATAACATGGGGCACAAAATTTAGCGATTTTTGAGCTTTCAAAATGTCATAACTTCCGAACAGGAAGTCGGATCGAAATTTGATTTGCAGATTCGGATTTCTGAGAAAATTCTATACTTAATTCATAACTCAAACGTTAAATTTGGAGAATTTTTTATTTTGACCTACTTTTCGGACACCATATTTCAAAAGTGGGGCAAAATACTTTTTGACGGCAAAAGGCTAACACTATGAGCACACTCTTGGCTACATGTATACAAAATTTTGAAGAATATAATTAATCTGTAGTGTCAGAATCGCAAAAATAAGGAAAAACTTTGAATTTGACCTAGATTTTGACCTAGGCATTTTGGTGTCCAAATTTTTATGAAAAGAAGGTTTTGAGGTCCCTTTCTTTTATGGGCTTCCATTATGTTTAGCTGTGCTTAGTCTGTATCTCGTATTTTACACTTCAAAAAAATATTTTTTCCCATTGAATTAACATGGGGTACCAAATTTAGCGATTTTTGAATTTTCAAAACGCCATAACTTCTGAACCGGAAGTCAAATCGAAATTTGGTTTTCAGATTCGGAATGCTGAGAAAATCTCCTATAAGACTGATATCCTGGACATTGGATTCGGAGAACTTTTTTTTGGACCTCGTTTTCGGACACTGATATCTCGAAATTGGTTTGAGATACCAAAAAACTAAATCGACCCTAGATTTTCTACTTTTTTATGAGGAACACAATGAAAAAAAACCGGATCAAAAATATTGAAGGACGACCGAGAAAATCGAAAAAAGTGACAAAGTACTGGATTTGACCTAGTTCTTGACCTTTGACCTAGATAAAAATTTGACCCAATTTCCCACCAACTAGATACTGAACCTAAATGAACTGTATAATGGTCTTTACTGGATACCTTATAGTTATTGAAAAAACTCTTAAAGAAAAATAATAAGAAGAAGAAGAAGAATACTGGCAAAAACAATAGACTCCAGATTTTCAATCTGGAGTCTAATAATAATAAGAATACTGGCAAAAACAATAGACTCCAGATTGACATCTGGAAGTCTAATAATTCAATCTACATGAGATTCCACCTACTTATTCAATTTCTTTCAGATAAAGCAAATATAAGCGATTAATCGCATGATAACTTTTCGTTCTATCCGAGGTCAAAGAGCACTACTATCACTAAAGCATATATTAGAATAATGAAATGCTACGAAAAGCTCAAAATGCTAAGACTGACCCTGTGAGATTAAGTTATTTTCTTGCATCCAATATATAAAAAGTAAGTCATATATTTTGATCCGAGAATCGCTCAGAATGTGCTAAATCAGCCCAAAAAACTAAATTTCCCGGGGGCCATACCCCCGGTCCCCCTACCTTTACTCGAGTACTATCACTCATAATTCTGGCAACGTCCCTTATATCAAGCTATTATTTTACAAGCCATTATTTGGATTAAGTGTGTGTATCTTTTAACTCCACTAACTCAGATGCGAGTAGGTAGTTACCAGTTTCACCACCTGGTGACTCGTTTGGGTCAGACAACATGGATAAAGTAGAACGTTTCATTTAATGCAAATTTACCGAACTAGAAGTCTGATTTTCAAAAATAGTTAAATTCTTCAAAGTTGATAAACAATTTTCCATATAATTACTAGATGTACTTTTAAATGTAGATTTCAAATATGACATCACTTTGACTGAATTATTTCTACTCGCATCTAGTCTATCGAATACATATTTTACAAAACGCATTTCTTCCAGGGCATTTCCTTAATCATTTCAAGTATGCACTTCTAGCTAGGCATCTTTAGAATAAGATAAATTATCAATACAAAGAACATGTTACATATTCACTAGCATTATTTTATTCCTGCTTTTTGCATTCATTTAGTTTCATTGGAACAATCAGGATTCCAAACTGCAATTTCCCCGATGATTGGGTCACTAAGTAAGTCGCAACACAGTTTCTGGTCCCCGAACACAGTTACAGGAGTTAGCCTTCCACACTCATTCGGGTTAAAATGCACCCCTATGGTCCTACCAGGGGGACCGATCAATCTGAACAATGACTGACACATGACCTGCCCCAGTGCAACACGCCTGTTGCCATCGATCACAATAACCCGCCTCAGCCCTTCAGTGCCCCAGAATTCCCTGG